AAAGGGATGAATAAAAATATCTGACCTTAAGTAACACACACTCTTTCTTTATCAGGGAAAACAGATATGTTAAACTCATGTAACAGTCCAGTGTGATTAGGAGGAAAGATGTAAGTGCAAGTTCTGGTGTGACACAGGGGAAGCTCAGTTACCTACCACCTTAAGGGTTGGAGCTGGAAGGATCAGTATCAGCAAAGGCTCACTGGGAGTACTGACAGGTTAATTGCATTTAGTGGAATGAATTGGACTGGTACTGACAAAAATGTTATAATGCAGTGGTGGATTCCTGTTGTTGAGAAAGCCAAGTTGTGATAGAGTAGATTTTATTTCTGCTGGAAAGCACATGATATTGGTTAGGTATCTAAATGTATATAGGGGTAATGGAGAAACAGAAATTTCTAAGAAGATCAGTCCTCAGATAGTTTGTATTTTGATTGACATTTGTATCCTCAGATTTTTAAATACTTGTGGGATCCGAAGTGGAGGTGCCTAGAGGGTTGAAGGTAATGAGGACGAATGAAGAAATGTTTGATTGTGCCATACCTATAGTTGCTGATTTTCAAGATGTGGGTACTTCCTTAGCCTTATTCTCTGTGTTGCCTTTCCATATCATTAGTAATAGTTCTTTAAAAGCCAGCTTTATTGAGGAATAATTTACAGTCAAATGGACCTGTTTTATGTGGACAGTGAAATGATTTTTTTTTTTTTGAGATGGAGTTTCACTCTCTCGCCTACGCTGGAGTGCAGATGTGTGATCTCAGCTCACTGCAACCTCTGCCTCCTGGGTTGAAGCGATTCTTCTGCCTTAGCACCCAAGTAGCTGGGACTATAAGTGCGCATCACCATGCCTGGCTAATTTTTGTAATTTTAGTAAAGACAGGGTTTCACCATATTGGTCAGGCTGGTCTCAAACTCCTGACCTCAGGTGATCCACCCACTTTGGCCTCTCAAAGTGCTGGGACTACAGGCATGAGCCACCATGCCCTGCAGTTAAATGAGTTTAGGGTTTTAAAGTCAGGTTTGTTGAGGTATAATGTATGTACAATAAGGTTTATCTCCTTTTTTTTTGGTGGCAGGGTCTCACTCTGTCACCCAGGCTGGAGTGCAGTGGTGTGATCATAGCTCACTGCAGCCTAGTCCTCCCTGGCTCAAGTGATCTCCCAGCTCAGCCTCCCAAATAGCTGGGATTACAAGCGTGTGCCACCAAGCCCAGCTAATTTTTTGATTTTTTGTACTGAAGAGATCTCTCTGTGTTGCCCAGGCTGGTCGTGAACTCCTGGGCTCAAGCGATCCTCCTGCCTCACCCTCCTAAAGTGCTGGTATTAAAAATGTGGACCACTGTACCAGGCCAAGTTCACCTTTTAAAGTTATGTATTTTGATGGTTTTAACACATACATCTACCTTTGTAACCATTACTACAAGATCAAGATACAGAATGTTTCCATCATTCCCATACCCCTTTGCAGTCAGTTCCCACAGCCCCAGCCCACTGATCAGTGTTCTGCACTATAGATTAGGTATCATTGTCAGAAAAGTGGAGTCATGGTATACACTTTTTTTGTGTTTGGTTTCCTTCTCTGAATGTGATGTTTTTGAGATTCATTCATGTTATTGCTCAGTCTGATACACTGATACTGATAATGATCCATGGATTTGGGGCCCAAAGGAAATAGGTTCATGACAAAGTTAAGGACAGGAAGATAATTTTTATTTATTTAAAAATATGTGTAATAATAAAAAAATTAAAAAGAATATATGAAGGAAAAATTAATTGAAAAAAAACTAAACAAAACATGTATCCTGGTGCTGTTTTCAGACCTCATTTGTTTATTATCATTAGATATGTTGCATAGTATAATTGGAAGAACATTGAAATGACCATGAAACATGGTTTTCTGGTCTATCTACGCTACAGACTTTTTTTGTGATCTTAGACAAATCATTCTACTTGTGGGCCTCTTTTTCTATATGGTCCTTCTTAACTTTAAAGTTCCAGTCCAGATGCAGCATAACTAAAGACCTGGATAGAAAAGGATGAAGAAAATTTTATTAGATTGAGCAGCTTGAAATGTCAATCTCTAAGAAGGGTACAGAGCATTTTAGATGAGTGCCAACAGCAGAGTACATAACCTTTGTTATGGTTGTCCTTTAGTAGGCAAAGTAGCTGCTAGACTCTGAACTATTCCTTCTTTTTTGTTTTTTAAGATGGAATCTTGCTCTTTCACCTAGGCTGTTGTGCAGTGGCTTGATCTCTGCTCACTGCAACCTCTGCCTCCTGGATTCAAGCAATTCTCCCACCTCGGTCTCCTGAGTAGCTGGACGTTTAACCATACCTGGCTAATTTTTATTTAATTAATTAATTTATTTATTTATTTTAAGTGGAGATAGGGTTTCACTATGTTGGCCAAGCTGGTCTCGAACTCCTGACCTCAAGTGATCTGCCTGCCTTGGCCTCCCAAAGTGCTGGGATTACAGGTGTGATCCCAGCCTTGTCCCTTCTTGTTATGCTCCTGTGGTGGTTTTGCAAGTTAAGAGCCACACTAAGTCATGTGAGGTATAGGGAAAATGCCCACTAATTGAGTTTTATGTATATAGACACTCAGAGAAGAAAGAAAGAAAGATTGGTCTTATTTATATATGTATATGTAAAACACCGTATGTGCACAGAAAGCTAGATGGTATGCTGCATATGGGAAGATTTTAATCATACTTTCTTATTTTGAAAAGATAACTTACTGCAGCGTCAAGGTTAAATTGTAGCGGAAAGGAAGAAAAGATGGGACTAGAAAAAGAAAATAGTTGTCTATCAAACAGTGTACAAAGGAGCTTATATCCACTATCATATTTAATTGTCTGAACACTCTTTTGGAGGGTCTATCAGTCAAGGTGCAGTCACCAGGAAGAGAAATTGCACTAGGTGTTATTAACAGAGAACATTCACTAGTGAGAATTGCTTTCTTGAGTGTTGGAAGAATAAAAGAACAACAGCAAAAAAAGGCATGCTAAGATACCCCAGAGTTAATAACTAGAAGAAGTAGCTATCACCCCTAAGGCTGGGAGAACAAAAGGGAAGAGGTAGTGTTACCAGAACCTAGGAGTTTGTTAGAGGTCCTCTGGGGACTGGTGCCTGGACCTCTGGCCATAAGCTTTGAGTAGCTCGTACTCAGATCCTTGAGGAGGCCTGGCTTGACAGGTGATTGGTAGGCCCAGGCAGTGTTGTCCAGAGGATGAGTGATTATGGCAAGGTTGATATTCTGACTGCCAAAGAGCCACAACCCACTGCTACTGGTACCTCTATGGCTTTTTACCAGACTGTTGAAAGAAGCTAGAGACTGGAATTAAGTCTCTTATTGCTGGAGCAATGCTGATAACAGCTGGGAAATAGGAAGGAAGGCCCTTTTCTTACCTTTCTGCCTTCCGGTTTGATGAACAGAACAGGAAGGAGCTAGCAAGGAGTCTTGGAAATGAAGTTTGCAAATCTTGGCCCCATTGTCACAGAGCAGAGCATAAAAGGGTAGGCTTGGAGCTGAAAGACAATAGGTAAATAACTGGGACAGTGAATATTATGCATATTTTACGAAGAGAACACTGAAGCTGAAAAGGTTGAATTATTTGCAAAAGATCATTTAAGTGAAGTGATCTGGAATGTAAACCCAGGCCTGTGCTGTTTCCACTATTGTATATTGTCTAATCCAAAGTGCCATTGGTTATTAGAAACACTATTATTTTATGTACCACTAATGAAAAAATGCAGTACTGCTGGCCAGGCATAGTAGCTCACGCCTGTAACTGCCAGCATTTTGGGAGGCTGAGTTAGATGGATCACCTGAGGTCAGGAGTTCGAGACCAGCCTGGTTAACCCTGTCTTTACTAAAAATACAAAAATTAGCCAGGTGTGGTGGTACATGCCTGTAGTCCCAGCTACTCTGGAGACTGAGGCAGGAGAATTGCTTGAACTTGGGAGGCGGAGGTTGCAATGAGCCGAGATCCCACCAGTATACTCTAGCCTGGGCAACAGAGTGAGACTCTGTCTTAAAACAACAACAACAAAAGCAGTACTGCCAATTTAATATGGCATCAATTGTAAAATACATACCAATTTTAGAGATTTTTTTTTTTTTTGAGACACCCACCATCTCACTCTGTCACCCAGGCTGGAGTACAGTGGCATGATTATGGCTCACTGCAGCCTTGACCACCCGTGCCCAAGCAATTCACCTTCTTTAGCCCCCCAGGTAACTGGGGCTACAAGCCCACAACACCATGAGAGCTAATTTTTGTATTTTTAGTAGAGACAGGTTTTCGCCATGTTGCCCAGGTTGGTCTCGAATTCCTGGGCTCAAGCCATCCTCCCATTTTGGCTTTCAAAAGTGCTGGGGTTATGGACATGAGCCACTGTACCTGGCCTCAGATTTTTTTTTAAGTGAAAAGAAAACAAGTAGCACCTTAAAATTGATTAAATATGGCATTATGCTGCCTTTTAAGTAATTTTGTTTTGGAGCTGTTGATTTTGAAATACCTAAGGGATACTCAGGTAAAATATTTAGTAGGCAGTTTTAAAATGTGGAGTTATGGCTCATAAGAAAGATGGAAGCCAGAGATACAGAGGTGAAGGTCATCTGCACATCGGGATCGGGATCCAGAAACAACCTTGCTAACTTTTGGTTTTTGACTTTAATAGTCTCTGAGTCTGTTATTTGTACCTTCTTATTTCATTCTGTCCTTTGCCTATCTCTTTGCGACGACAACTGTTGGTAAACTTTGTTGTGTTTTATTATTCAGGAACACTTTTTTTCCCCTTAAATTTCCACAAGCAAGAATCGTTTTCTTTTCTCTCTTGTATTTGAAAAATATGTGACCTGCCAGCATGCTGTCTTCACAAGGGTGCAATTGTGAAAGTACTGTTGTGGGTATGGTAGTGAAAAGCAGGTCTCCAGAAAATACAGATGGTGTGAAGAAATCCTATCTATAGATTTTCATGACTTCTCTATTTCTAAAGGTCCAGCATGTCTGGCTTGCACCTAGTAAAGCAGGGCCGAGACCGAAAGAAAATAGATTCTCAACGAGATTTCACTGTGGCTTCTCCAGCAGAATTTGTTACCCGCTTTGGGGGAAATAAAGTGATTGAGAAGGTAAGTTGTAACTTGCTGAATTATTTTGTCAAAAGCACATAAGGTTTAATGCCTGCCTAGATTTGTTATCTAGATTTGCTCCCAGTTGATATTTAGATTCTTAGAGGCTTTGCCTCTATGTCAGTTACCCTTTCTGCCTCCTTAGCATCCTGTTAATATAAGTTCACTATTTTTCTGTAATATGTATTTACCATGGATAATTTAGTCATAGCTAATTAAGGAGTTGAAATAGTGCTTATAAAGTTATTTCTGAGTCCTAGCAACTTGGGAGGCTGAAACAGAAGGGTTTCTTGAGCCTGGGAGTTCAAGGTTGCAGTGAGCTATGGATTGTGCCACTGCGCTCTAACCTGGGCAACAGAGAGAGACCCTGTCTCAAAACAAAAAAAAAGTTATTTTTGAAAGATCTTGTGAGGGTGGGACTGCACTGATCCAACAGGGGATGAGGAATTGATTAACTTGTAGCGTCCTGGTGGAGAGATAATGTACCACAGCATTGGTTTGAGAGCTAAGGGACTAGAGAGAGTTTCAGAAGAGAAGGCTTAGAGTTTGATACAGTGTGACTTACTGGGTTCCACCAGGTATTTGAGATGTTTAAAGGGAATATACCACATGATATACTTAGAGATTCCAGGTATTTTGAAATGTAATTCTGTGTTACTTTTATCTAAACCATGTCAGAGCTGAGAGGATGACTTGGTTGAAATAGCTTCCAGTGATTAAAAGATTAAAGAATGGGGACCTATATTTCTACTCCTAAAAGTATTACTTCAGCAGCATCCTTTTATTAGTCTTCCAATAAAGATAGATTATGTGTCTATTAGTCTGTGTTATCCTCAGAGGCATGACTGCAAGACAGGTAAGGAGATGAAAGGTTTGTTTACAGAAAGTCTCAGGATTATTTGATTTTTCTACAACAGTGACCATTCTTTCTGAGGTATTCTCTACAATTCTAAGGCATTGGAGTTCATTATTTTGGAGAAAAGTGACTAATACCAGGGTTTTTAAACATGTTCAGTGCTTGGTATCTCATTTCATGGCAACAGGGAATAGTGCATGGCCTTGTACTGGTTGGCCTTCCCTGATTCCTCATTTCATAATACATCATCCCTCTGAATTTAATTTTCTTCTGTTCCCTAGTAATTGATATTGTAGTATGGTAGAATAATTCATAAACTCACAGGATTTGAGCAATTGTGACTTTTCCCTCAAAATAAATGAAGTTAGAAAGGAGTGTATTTTAGCTGGCACATACTCAAGTATTTGCTTAGCTAACATTTTAAGATATTGCTTGGCGTGGAGAAGTCAGTTCCTAACAGTCTGGACCAGTAACAAGAATTCTTGGTTGAAAATAGGACTTTAACACAGAAAGATAGATCTACAAAAATTTTTTCATCTCTTTTCCTCTGTAATTGCTTTTTTCTGCCCTTTCCTCCCATTCCCATCTCCTTCCGCCTCCCAGGTTCTTATTGCTAACAACGGCATTGCAGCAGTGAAATGCATGCGGTCTATCCGTAGGTGGTCTTATGAAATGTTTCGAAATGAACGTGCAATTCGATTTGTTGTTATGGTCACACCTGAAGACCTTAAAGCCAATGCAGGTGAGTTATTAAATGCATTATGAAAACATCACTCTGAAAACTAAAATCTGGAATAGCATAGTCTTTACGTAGGAGATCGTTAACTTGGGATTCCCAAACACAGGACTTCCAAATAAAATCCTTTTAAAATAATTTCTGCTGAAAATGTGTCAGTAATAGGCATATAAATGTGATTGCACGATAGTTAACCTCAATACAAATTCCTTTGTTCTAGGGCTAAATAGGAAGAAATTTAATGAAGTGTTGATTTGGGCTTTCAAGTGTATGCCTTTTTCAGTGTTTAAGTATTTGTTATGCCACATTCTTTGGAATATGTAAGTAGAAAGATTTAGAAGGAAATGTTTTCCTTATGAGTTATATTGAATTATAGAAAAACTCTGGCCTGAGATTTTTTTTTCCTTCTCCTGAGGGAGAGAGCTCTTGGGACTGAAGTGTGTTTCACTCTGTAAATTCTTCTACATATTCTTTTTACTCAGATAGTTCTCTGTCTGATAGTTGTAGATAAAGACTATTGGTATAGCTGAAAGATGTGAGTAGTCTTTCTTCTCCATACTTTTTAAAATTTTTTTATTTTATAGCCATGTGTTGTCACTACTAAGGTATAATCTCTTAAGGTAGAGTACCCACAGATAATGTGAAGAGCTATCTTTTTTTTTTTTTTTTTAAATTAAGACGGAGTTTTGCTCTTGTTGCTCAGGCTGGAATGCAGTGATGCATTCTCGGCTCACTGCAACCTCTGACTCCTGGGTTCAAGCAATTCTCCTGCCTCAGCCTCCCGAGTAGCTGGGATTACAGGCATGCACCACCATGCCCATCTAATTTTGTATTTTTAGTAGAGACAGGGTTTCTCCATGTTGGTCAGGCTGGTTTTGTACTCCCAACCTCAGGTTATCCACCTGCCTCAGCCTCCCAAAGTGCTGGGATTACAGGCGTGAACCACTGTGCCTGGCCGAAGAGCTATCGTTTTTTACATTTTCTTTACCTTTTACTACTGGGAAGCTGCCAAAAAAAAAAAAAAAAAAAAAAAGAGTTGTTCTTTTATACTTCAGTCTGTATATGTTCTTTCTTTGTTGAGACAATGATATTATGATTATTCCTAGGAAAGAAAGGTTATTATATCATTTTATTTAGAAATACAGAAGTCACCAATTTATTAGAAAGCAAATATTATATATTGCCATTCTTGGATTGCTATAAAGAAATACCTGAGTCTGGGTAACTTGTAAAGAAAAGAGGTTTAATTGGCTTACAATTCTGTAGGCTTTACAGGAAGCATGGTGCTGGTCTCTGCTCTGCTTCTGGGGAGGCCTCAGGAAATTTACTATCTTGGGGAAGGTGAAGGGGTAGTAGCCACATCACATAGCCAGAGCAGAAGCAAGACAGAGAATGGGGGGAGGGTGCCACACACTTTTAAACAACCAGATCTCATATGAACTTAGAGTGAGAACTGACTTATCATCAAGGAGATGACCCAAACCATTTATCAGGGAGCTGACCTCATGATCCAAACACCTCCTAACAGGCCCTATTTCCGAGATTGGGAATTAGAATTCAACGTGAGATTTGGCCAGGACATATTCAAGCTATATCATGTTATTATGTGAAATCATTTAGATACACACTTTCACATCTCTCCACCACAGGTTTTGTACTTACAAAAGGAAGATCCTAATGTTTATTTCACTGGATAATCGTACAGATGGATCATCTATAATAAATACAAATTATCTTGCATGATTTCTTTTTCTTATTCATTTCTACCTGGCACTCCAATTTATTCATTCATTTATTCACTTAACACAGAGACTCACAGTTTAATAAGATGTGATCTTTTTCTAGGAAACAAATAATTTCAATACAATGAGGTAAGTGCTATAAAAGAAACATGCACAGGGTCCTGTGAGAACACAGAAGTGAGACATCTAATTCTTGGGGGCAGGGTTAAGGGAAAGCTTTCTGAGGCTGGGTGGCTCATGCCTGTAATCCCAGCACTCTGGGAAGCTGAAGCGGGCAGATCACTTGAGGTCAGGAGTGTGAGATCAGCCTGGCCAATATGATGAAACCCTGTTTCTACTAAAAATACACAAATTAGCTGGGCCTGGTGATGGGCACCTGTAAATCCAGCTATTCAAGAAGCTGAGGTAGGAGAATCACTTTAACCCAGGAGGAGGAGGTGGTGGTGAGCGTAGATCACGCCACTGCATTCCAGCCTGGGCCACAAAGTGAGACTGTATTAAAGGGGGGAAGAAAAAAAGAGAGAGAGAAAGCTTTCTGAAAGAGATTATGTCTAGCCAAGAATTAGTAATAGTGAAGCAATTGGGGGGGGAGAGAAAGATATACCAGACAGAACAGCATATGCAAATGTATAAAGATACGACACAAGTGGTTTTCTAGAAATTACAGGTGGCTATGAGACGCGATATAGTATTTGCCAAGGAGGCCCTTGTTTTCCATCCTCAAAAGCACAGACTTTGTCTTTTGAGGAAAGAGTGTGTGTGTGTGTGTGTGTGTGTGTTTGTGTGTTTGTGTTGGACCTCTAAGGATTTGCATTTTTCATGAATGTGTTTTTTGATGTGTGTCTGTGTGTTTAACTATGTAAAAGTAGAAGATAATAAGGAACCCCTTCCCATTTGTCATGCGATATCAATAGTTATCAATCATGGCTAATCTAGTTTCATCTATATTCTTACCCCCATACACAATTATTTTGATGCAAATCCTTGATACCTTATTCTTCACGTTATCTGTGAAGATACTGTACCTTAAGATTAAGAGATTACATCTTAGTGATTAAAAATATGGAGGGCCAGGCATGGTGGCTCATGCCTGTAATCTCAGCACTTTGGGAGGCCAAGGCAGGTGGATCAGTTGAGCCCAGGAGTTCAAGGTCAGCCTGGACAGCATGGTGAAACTTTGTCTCTACAAAAAAATGCAAAAATTAGTTGGGCATAGAGGCACATGCCTATAGTCCCAGCTACTCAGGAGGCTGAGGTGAGAGAATCACCTGAGCCTAGGAGGTCAAGGTTGCAGTGAGCCATGATCATGCTGCTGCATTCCAGCATGTCATCTAAGTGACAGATGAGTAAGACCCTGTCTCAAAAACAAACAAAAAAGAAATCTAAACTAAAACAATGCTAAAGATTTTTTTACTTACAAAACTGGCAAAATTGAAAAGATTGATAATAACTAACATAGGTGAGAGTATTTGGTACCCATGTTGCTAGGGAGAGTCTGAAAATGTGAATACCTTTTGATCCAATAGTTTTATTGGTAGCAACATATCTTGTGGATATAATTGAACAGCTGTACTGGGATTCACATTATTTTATTATTTTTCAAATTATAAATAATCTGTACTTCCATCAGTAAGTTAGTAGTCAAATGAATTATAGGCTATTGAAATATTAGGTATCCATAAAAATATTAAACATATTGTGTATATTTATATTAATCTTCACTAAAGTATAATAAACTAGTTGTCTTTGAGGTAGGACAATAGGTGATTTTGACTTTTATTTATTTATTTATGTCACTCTGTCCACCAGGCTGGAGTGCAGTGGCGTAATCTTAGCTCACTGCCACCTCTGCCTCCTGGGTTCAAGTGATTCTCATGCCTTAGCCTCCTGAATGGCTGGGATCACAGGTGCCCACCACCATGTCCAGCTAATTGTGTGTGTGTGTGTGTGTGTGTGTGTGTGTATTTTTTTATTTTTTTTGAGACAGAGCCTCACTGTGTTGCCCAGGCTGGAGTGCAGTGTTGTGATCTTGGCTCACTGCAGCCACCGCCTTCTGGGTTCAAGTGATTCTCCCACCTCAGCCTCCCGAGTAGCTGGGACTACAGTTGTGTGCCACCATGCCAGGCTAATTTTTTGTGTTTTTAGTAGAGACGGGGTTTCGCCATGTTGGCCAGACTGGTCTTGAACTCCTGACCTCAGGTGATCTAACCACCTTGGCTTCCCAAAGTGCTGGGATTACAGGTGTGAGCCACTGCACCCAGCCAATTTTGACTTTTAAAAAATAGTATTGTTATATTCTGTTGTATTATCTAACATTATTTAATAATTTGCATGCTTTCCCTCCTATAATCAAAGAGAACAATAAACCTATTTTAATTTTGAAGAAATTATAGTGTTTTTTTTTTTTTTAGTAGAATGTTTTCCTAGAAAGGACTTAAAATCTTTTAGAAGTAAGAACAAGATAATTGCCATTCTGACTGGTGTGAGGTGGTATCTCATTATGGTTTTGATTTGCATTTCTCTAACGATCAGCGATGTTGAGCTATTTAAAAATATGTTTGTGGGCCACATAAATGTCTTCTTTTGAGAAGTGTCTGTTCATGTGCTTTGCCATTGCATGCGGGGCTTAATACCTAGGTGATGTGTATTAAGCCCTGCAGCAAACCATCATGGCACATATTTACCTATGTAACAAACCTGGATGTCCTGCACATGTATCCTGGAACTTAAATTTTTAAAAAAGAATAAGATAAAAGAAATGTTAATAAATAATGGTGGAGGCTTCAGTTGAAATTTGAAAGCTAAAATAAATATATAAATGGTGGAAATGGACTTTGAGCAAGTTACTTAACTGTTCCAAGCCATCATTTTCTGTCAGGTATCATATGTAGGGTTGATGAGAGAAATGAGACAATGTATATATAAAGTGCTAGTTACAGTCTCTACATGTGGTAACTCTTCTGTTACAATTGTCATTGCTAGAATAGGAAGATAAAGAGATGTTAGGTAACAAATTTGAAAGGCAATACTGTACAACAAATATATATGAGAAAGGGTTATCTTTCTAAAGTTTCTTTCAATTACCTGTTACCATCAGTATTCCAGATAAACTCTTTCCAGATACTCCTGTAACTAACCTTTCTTGTTTAGCCAGTTTGCAAACCATTCAGGCTGTCCTGTCTTTCTCCATTCTGTCAAGCTCTGCACTAGGAAAAGGGCTTTCTCTAGGTCCAGTGCCAGTTAAAGACAAAGGATGTCACGACTAGAACTTTTTCTCAGAATAGAGTTAATTGCAGTTGGGCCACTAACTGACAGACACATCAACCTTAATACAGAGGTCATAAAGATTCCTCAGAAAGATTACATAGTGAAATGTTGGACACCTCCTGTTTTAGTATAAGAGCTTCTAAATATAGAATTAACTTGTATTAGTGCCTGTAACTTAATAAACTAAGAGCCTTCAACTAAATGGTCCTGAAAATTATCTTATTAATGCTCTTTGTTCTATGGTTACTTATGCTAGTCCCTGACCTTTACGTAGTTTCACTGTGCAATTAAATTTCTGGAAAGAAAAATCATGTGTCCTCTATTAATTTGCTTGCATTTTCAGAATACATTAAGATGGCAGATCACTATGTGCCAGTGCCTGGAGGACCAAACAACAACAACTATGCAAATGTGGAGTTAATTCTTGATATTGCTAAAAGGATCCCAGTACAAGTAAGAGATGCCAATGTGACCTTTAAAACCAAATTCAGCCATTTGATTGTTAGGCACATGGAGATATCCAGAGAAGAACATTTTTACAAAGCATCTTTTTTGAAAATTATTAAATGTCTGTATATGGGATAACTAAATCAAATAAGGAAAAGATGGAAATAATGGGATGGCTAAAAAGAAAGTAAACCTAATACAAACAGAAGTTTTGGAAGGGTCTTTCAGAGATTATTTATTCTGGTTGTGTCACCTTCAAGCCATCCCAAGTAAGTAAAAGTTGCCTATTTCTTGTGGAATATTAGCCTAAATGATGGTGGTATATTAAAGAAGTAGGCTGTTTCTTCCCTGTCACATTGTGTTAGTAAGTTTAGAGTAGGTACCTTAAAGCCCAAAGAGGAAAAACTCTAAACTTAAATGGCAGTGTAATCAATAAAGATGTAATTGAATATGTGAAAGATAGCCAGTATTTCTAGAAAACACCCTGTATAGCCTAGGTTATGAATTGAGTTTCCTAAAGAGCAACAAGAATAACTGCATCTTAATATCAATTTCAGCTTGGTTTTCGCCCTTTCAGATACCTTGCCACAATGGACTACTTACTGTTATTCTGTAAAATGTTTGCCAACAATCAAGCATAGAAGCTGAATTAAGCATTAGGCTGCTCCGAAACTATTGTACTTCATGAAATAGGGCCAGCCTGGATAGGGAGTCATGCAGTTTGTGAAGGATTTATATGAATTTTAAGAATGAATTATATTGTATTCCCTTGCAGGCAGTGTGGGCTGGCTGGGGTCATGCTTCTGAGAATCCCAAACTACCAGAACTTCTCTTGAAAAATGGCATTGCCTTCATGGGTAAGCTTGTCTGACATACTGTTCCTGTCTTTCTGATTCTTTTTGTCAGTTTCGCCCACATTTGACTCTACAGTCTGATTTTCTTCTGTTTAACATGTGCTGGTCGGTCTCTCTCTCTCGCTCTCTCTCTCTTTTTCCTCAATTACTAACAGAGTAACCCTCTTGAGTAACCCTCTTCATTTCTTGCGTTTTTTCATTTCTTATACCTTGCTTATCTCACTTCGTCTTGATTTTGTTTTCTGTCCCTGGGTCCTTTCTCATGAGATATGGAGAAGGCTTTGGTTTCCAAAACACTGACCTTTTAAAACTTCGCAACTAACCTTAAGAAAGCATGCAGGAAAAGAACCCGTTTTTAGATAGAGAAGATAATTGAATACTCAGTACGCCCTGGCAGTGTGCCCTTAAATATGAATCAGCACCTTTGCATTTAAGCATATAGGTTATGCTCCTACTGGTGAGAGAGACTTCTTCTGACTTTCTGCTGTCATTGTGGCAGAGAGAAAAACAGGTTATATAGCTCAAAGTATTTCTCTGTGTCAAAATGAAGAGTATGTTTCGTAAACCTTGTTAAAGATGATTCTCCTTTTTGAGTTCCCCTAAGACCAAAGAGGGTATAATATTTCAGACTTGAATCCTAAAGCTTTATAGTCCTTATTTCAGGATATTGACTTAAGGAAAAAAAAAAAAAAAAAAAAGAAGACTTTGTTCATCTGGTAAAGTTGGATCATGAAGAATGACAAAATTATAGCTAGATTTGTCAAGAATTTAATTCAACATATATTTATATTTATTGAGCTCTCTGCATCAAAAGCTTACTGTGTTAGGTTTTATAGATGGTACAAAGATAAGTCACAACATAATAGTCCCCATAATCAATTTATGATCTCCTTGATGTGAGGGTTGGGGGGAGGACAAGACAAATACATAAATAGCTATAATACAAGACAACTAGATGTGCCAGAAATAAGTCCAAGGTGTTACAGTCAGGATTCTTTTCCTGTTTTGTTTTTAGGTCCTCCAAGCCAGGCCATGTGGGCTTTAGGGGATAAGATTGCATCTTCCATAGTGGCTCAAACTGCAGGTATCCCAACTCTTCCCTGGAGTGGCAGTGGTAAGAACTGAATTCTTGTTTGTATCTTGAAGTACAGAATAGCTCAATAGAATATTTGGGACTTAACTTTTTTGAAAAAGTATTGGGATACTTGACAAGAAATGGAATGCTGGTTGAGTAATGGTACCTTGTCTCTCCTGGCTTAATTAATACACTTGTGATTCTTTTATCTTAGGAATATAAATTTAGTTCGAGGGACACAGATGCTAAAATGTGATCTGGAGTGATCTTGTGAGTTAACTTGGAGAAACTCTGGGAAGACACATACATGGTTTTGTGGGTTTAGGTGTGTTCTGGGTAGGCTAGAATTTTCCTCAGCGTCAGGCTTCATAGGTGGAATTAGGTCTTCGGACCTGCCTGGGAGTAGCCCCGGTCACTAGGAAAAACCTCTAACAGTTTAGGTTTACTTGCCAATGTTTACTTGTCAATGTTTTCTTGATATCAACCCACAATCTGTTGATGATTTGCTTTGACTGTTTAAAACCATTCAACCTCAGTTGCCCTTGATGCAGAAAATGAGGCCAGTAATTAACTTTTCTTCCAGGCATGCCAGAGGGGCAAGAATTTTCAAAAAATGATTTATTCTCAACCACTCCCTTAAAGAGGTCTGTGTATATCAGTTATTATAGCTGATAACAATATGAACTTCCACCCCCCCCCCAGTACTCAAGCACTGGGAGCAGACATACGCTAAAACCTCTTTTATATGGGAATGACCATTGTCTTGAGGCTGAATAGATTTGAACCCTTGTCACTCTGGCTCTCCAGGGAGATTGCAATATCCTCTCCAGATCTGCTGGGTCAAATAGTTTAAAATAAAAGGTTGAATTTGTTCTTATTTAAATGGAGAGGCTATAGTGTTCCCCTTGTGCCTGAGTACAGGGACATTCAGAGAGCATGGAATCATGACTCTGCTGAGGCCGATAAAACAGCCATTTCTATTTCTAAGGGCTCATAAAGATTGAATTATTTCCCAGACCTCTTGGCCCTGGAGCAGGCCTGAACACACAGTTTGAAGGTATTTTGCCTGCTGAATTGCTGTGAGAAGTATGCCATGCTCTTTTTTGTTTGTTTTGGTCTCGTATGTCTTTGCATTTTTATAAATTGCTCCGTTAGCTCGCCTGACCTCTGCCAGCGTAAGAACCCAAGTTGCTAGGTCATGCTATGGCTAAATCCTGCTAACCCCAAGAACTGATCAGGGTTTTATGGCATCTTTCTTTCTCTCATCCACTCTCAGATTTGGATAAATATGATAGAGCAGAAAATTGACAAAAGCAGAAGCTCTTGTAGCTGCCCTAAGTTGCTATTGTCTATTGCAGGTCTTCGTGTGGACTGGCACGAAAATGATTTTTCAAAACGTATCTTAAATGTTCCCCAGGAGCTATATGAAAAAGGTTATGTGAAAGATGTGGATGATGGGCTACAGGTAGGTTACTAACTCCAGGGAGTCATACCTTTCAACTGACCAATTATAGTCACAAATGTGGAGATTGGGAGCCTGGCTCATGATATATACCCAAAGTGGTGTTAGGGATGTAAGATCGGGAGGTGTAGTTTAAAAGTATAGAATACTCTGGTTTCTCTTTAGATTGCATATGCCTTTTGCGTTTTAAAAAGTATAGATTAGGAAGTGATTTTAAATGTAAACAGTCTAAATTAATTTTGAAACAGGCTGCTCATCTGAACAGAACATTTCTTGGGTGATTAAGTCAGAGTTTTAGGGAGGTGCTGATTCTCCCTCCCTCTGTTAGTGTGGGAGGGTGGGGACAACAAACAATCACACTTTGTCCACTGCTTGAATTCAGAACCAAGAAGCCAGGAGGCAAGAGATCAAACAGCTTTATTACGAGCAGAGATGTTGGTGAAAATGGCTTAAGTGTGTAGCAACAATCAGATTTGTAAACTGAACACCAGAGTTAAGCAGGCTCACTCACCTACTGGTTACTGGCAGTGCTGAATAACCACAGACTTCCCTCTACAGAGAGAGAGCTTTATTCAGCTTACTGTATGGCTGAGAGCTGACAAAGAGCATATGTTTTGTGCAGTGGGCTGATCCCATAGGGGAAGAGGCTAAGCTATGCGTGTTTAGTCCCTCCTTCCAAATTGACCAATCACTTAATTTATTATTTTTCCCTTTGGAAGGAGTAAGGAGAAAGACTGAAAGGGTTACTCTTAATTATTGTCCAGCCATATAGAAACGTGAACCTAGGCAAAAGGAGATCCTTTCCCCAACATTACCTTTTCTTTCCATATAGTTCCTCCAATTTGTTCCCCTTTCACTTTTATAAATAGTTTAAAATGTTTGTTATGCCTCCATGTATAATGAAAGATAATGAAAGAGGCTGTTGTAGAAAAATAAACTGCTTGAGTTCAACTTGTGTGGTATAAATTCAAGAGGGATGCTGAATGTTCAAATAATTTTGCTATACTGTTTGCATTTTAAGTTAAACATCCTGTAATCTTCTTAATAAGAATTAATATTTCTAATTGAATTGCACATGCTGAATTTTGTTTGCTATAATTTGCAAAAGAGTAGAAGCTTAAGGAACTATTCTAGCTATTTTGCTTATCGACTAATACCCTTTTTTTTTTCCTGGTTATAAACAGAATTTTCTGGTAGAAAATTTGAAAAGCCAAAGATGTTGATAAAGCCATATGTAAACACACCATCCAAAGATAATACTAACAGATCCATATTTTTCATCCTTTTTAATAAAAATCTTTATTAATAGATTCCTATACTTATAAGTATGATAATTATAAATTTTGGGTCTTACTATATGTAGTATTTGGTAATCATAATACTTTTTTCTACTTAGTATTTTTTGTTTTTCCACCTCTCTGTTCCTTACTTAATATTATATTAAAGTGTTAAAATTCTTCTAAAATGTTTAGAAGGGCAACCTGTGACTAAAGCTTTCATATATGTGTATATAATATTCTTTTTTGAGACAGAGTCTCACTCTGTCGCTAGGCTGGAGTGCAGTGGTGTGATATTCAGCTCACTGCAACCTCTGCCTTCTGGGTTCAACCAATTCTCCTGCCTCAGCCTCTTGAGTAGCTGAGACTGTAGGTGCACATCATCATGCCCAGCTAATTTTTGTATTTTTAGTAGAAATTGGGTTTCACCATGTTGGCCAGGATGGTCTCGTTCTCTTGACCTTGTGATCTGCCCACCTCGGCCTCCCAAAGTGCTGGGATTACAGTCATGAGCCACCGTGCCCAGCCCACTTTCATATATTTTTAAAGGGCCTACCTTCTTACTGACTTCCTGTGGCATACCCCCTTTTTTTTTTTTTAAGTCTTTCTTCACACTTATACTATCTCTTTGATCATCTATCCTCAGCAATTGAGTTCATCATACTAATGATGTTTATATGAGCATAGAAAGGAGTAGAGAAGGTCGGGCACGGTGGCTCAAGCCTGTAATCCCAGCACTTTGGGAGGCCGAGGCGGGTGGATCACGAGGTCAACAGATCGAGACCATCCTGGTCAACATGGTAAAACCCCGTCTCTACTAAAAATACAAAAAATTAGCTGGGCATAGTGGCGTGTGCCCATAATCCCAGCTACTCAGGAGGCTGAGGCAGGAGAATTGCCTGAACCCAGGAGGCGGAGGTTGCAGTGAGCCGAGATCGCGCCATTACACTCCAGCATGGGTAACAAGAGCAAAACTCCGTCTCAAACAAACAAACAAATAAATAAATAAGAGTAGAGATAAGGAAACACTAAAAGAGGTGGGACTGCGAGTGAAATATTTTCATTCCTAATCAACTGATATAGTTTAAAAATTGAAATCTTCTTTTTTCGGAGTGATACGTTTTTTTTTTTTGAGTTGGAGTCTCACTCTGTTTGTTGCCCAGGCTGGAGTGCAGTGGTGCCATCTTGGCTCGCTGCAACCTCCACTTTCCAGGTTCAAGTGATTCTCCTGCCCCAGCCTCCTGAGTAGCTGGGATTATAGGTGCCCACTACCATGCCTAGCTAATTTTTGCATTTTTAGTAGAGACAGAGTATCACCAAGTTTGCCTGGCTGGTGTCAAACTCCTGAGTGATCCACCCACTTTGACCTCCCAGAGTGCTAGGATTACACTGAGGCACTGTGCCAGGCCTGCTGATACATTTTAAAGATATTCTTATAATGTAGCAAAACCTTAAAAGACTGGAATATTTTGACAAAGGAATGACTTGGTTATTTTATTTATTTGTTTAGTTAGTTAGTTTTGAGAGGGAGTCTTGCTCTGTCACCCAGGCTGGAATGCAATGTTGCAATCTCAGCTCATTGCAACCTCTGCCTCCCAGGTTCAAGCCGTTCTCCTGCCTCAGCTTCTGGAGTAGCTGGGATTACAGGTGTGTGCCACCACACCTGGCTAATTTTTGTATTTTTAGTAGAGGTGGGGTTTCCCCATGTTGGCCAGGCTGGTCTTGAACTCCTGACCTCAGCTAATTCACCTGCCTTGGCCTCCCAAAGTGCTGGGATTACAGGCATGAGCCACCGCGCCCAGCCTTATTTTGTTTTAATATTTTTTGAGAGGCCGGGCGCGGTGGCTCAAACCTGTAATCCCAGCACTTTGGGAGGCGGAGGCGGGTGGATCACGAGGTCAAGAGATCGAGACCATCCTGGTCAACATCGTGAAACCCCGTCTCTACTAAAGATGCAAAAAATTAGCTGGGCATGGTGGCGCATGCCTGTAATCCCAGCTACTCAGGAGGCTGAGGCAGGAGAATTGCCTGAACCCAGGAGGCAGAGGTTGAGGTGAGCCGAGATGGCGCCATTGCACTCCAGCCTGGGTAACAAGAGTGAAACTCCGTCTCAAAAAAAAATATTTTTTGAGACAGGGTCTCACTTTGTTGCCCAAGCCGGAATGCAGTGGCATGATCTTGGCTCATTGAGACTTCTGCCTCCTGGGTTCAAGCAATTCTCGTGTCTCAGCCTCCTGAGTACCTGGGGTTACAGGCATGTGCCACCATGCCCGGCTAATTTTTTGTATTTTTAATAGAGACAGGGATTTCATCATTTTGTCCAGGCTGATCTCAAACTCCTTGCCTCAGGTGATCTGCCCACCTCAGCATCCCAAAGTGTTAGGATTATAGACATGCGCCACTGTGCCCAGCCCCACATTAGCTTATTTTAAGTGAACTTATGTCTTTTTTTTTTTTAATTATGGGTACAATGTGGATACCTGCATACTATAAGCAAGAAATTCCAATAATGCAGAAATATTTATAGTAAAAAAGGAAAGTTTTATATACATCTACCTTTATTTTCTAAATCATTGTTAGTATGTACTCTGGACTTCTTTGTACTTACATATGTGGGTGTATGAATGCATATATAATTTTGTTTTTTACCTATATGACATTACTTTACATTGAACCATATTAAATTGCCTATATTCAGTCATTTTTTAAAATCTATGAAAAAGGCAATTTCTTTTGGGTCAACGTAATACTACAAATATTGTTCTACTATTTATGCTTTCACCTAATAGCATATCTTGCAGATCTTTCTATTTTACTGTATTTAGACTTACTAAATGACTTAAAGGGAGAAAATGCCAGTTTTCTCCTTCCCTGGTAATAACACTGTTTCTTCTATTTTTTTTTTAACTAAAGGCAGCTGAAGAGGTTGGATATCCAGTAATGATCAAGGCCTCAGAAGGAGGAGGAGGGAAGGGAATTAGAAAAGTCAACAATGCAGATGACTTCCCTAACCTCTTCAGACAGGTAGAGTACAAACTGTTGTTTGTCTGTTTGAACTAACATGTATACCAGAGATATATGATTTAACTCATACTTTAATTTGGATGTCCAGAAAATATTTAATTTTTAATTTTGTCTATAGCTAATTGTCTTTCTCTCTAGTTTCTGCCTGCATATTAGCAGAGAAAAAAGGTTAATGAAATGTCCAACTCAATTTTAAGTTTTATTTAATTAGGTAATTCAAACAGAGTTATTCTGTCTTATATAAACGTGCTCAGTTTCTCAGATAGCTCTTCCTTACATGGCGCATGTGGCTTATAGGATCTCATAATGGCAAAGAAAAATCAATACCTTTCTGTATTTTTGTGCCCCTGTTCTGCTGACTTTGTAGGTAATGTGTGGTATCGTGGTATGATACTGATATTGTTGCTCTTGGCTTGGCCAGGCCCAGACTTTCTGACTGACTTTTTTCTACTTTAGTTCACATTGCCTAGAGACCTCTGAGTTTCTATCATATGTCCCATCTAGCCTGCTGTTCCAGCAGTCTATACTCTAGCCTGTGCTGCATAGCCACCACACCCTGGCACAGGAATCCTCTGGCAGACCCGCAGTATATAAGAACTGAGAGTGACTCAGGAAAGCTCAATGTAGGATCTCTCTGCCTTACCCTCTGCTTTGCAGCCAAGTTGATGTGGCCATACTGTACACTGGTTGTAGAGAAGGCCAAAGAAGTGATGTCTTTTTAGAATCTTAGAGAGAGAAAAGGGAGACAGGGCCTCTCTTTTTGTTTCATCCTCAGAGTTACCCTCACATACTTAACTCACTTCTTCTTTTTTTCCTACCAATACATAGTAAATGACGTGTCAAAAAATGGAAAATTGGAACAGAAATCTGCCTTTTTCATGCTCCTAGCTTCCCTTTTTTTCAGTTTTTTCATTATGATCTACTTTGCACTTCTTTTACTGATGTGCCATGCCACCTTTTATTTGACTTCTCTTTTTTTCTTAAAACATTTAGCTGCAAACTCCTTGCTTCACTGTCAAGAGTGGAAAAAAAAAAAAGCTTATGAGCTGGGTCTTCCATGATTTGATATACAGATGGTCCCCAATTTAAAATTTCAACTTATAAATTTTCAACTTTACAATGGTGTGCAAGTGATAATGCATTCAATATAAATCTTACTTTTAGTACCCATACAGCTATTGTTTTCACTTTCAGTGCAATATTCAGTAAACTGCATGAGATAGTCAGCACTTTATTATAATACAGGCTTTGTGTTAGATGATTTTTCCAATTTAGGCTGATGTGTTTTAAGCACATTTAAGTTAGGCTAGACTAAGCTATGATGTTCATGAGGTTAGGTATATTAAATGCAATTTTGACTTAGAACATTTTGAACTTATGTTAGGTTTATTGGGACATAACCTTATTGTAAGTCAAAGAGCATCTATACTAGATAAAGGAAGTGATAAAGGTGTTGTCTTGGCCAGGCGTGGTGGCTCACGCCTGTAATTCCAGCACTTTGGGAGGCCGAGGCAGGTGGATCATGAGGTCAAGAGATTGAGACCATCCTGGTCAACATGGTGAAACCCTGTCTCTACTAAAAATACAAAAAATTAGCTGGGCATGGTGGTGCGTGCCTGTAATCCCAGCTACTCAGGAGGCTGAGGCAGGAGAATTGCCTGAACCCAGGAGGCTGAGGTTGTGGTGAGCCGAGATCGCGCCATTGCACTCCAGCCTGGGTAACAAGAGGGAAACTCCATCTTAGAAAAAAAAAAATTATTTCTATTAATTTTTCTTGCAGCATATCAAACACTCAGTTGAAAATAGGCTATAGGCCAGGCATGGTGGCTCATGCCTGTAATCCCAGCACTTTGGGAGACTGAGACCAGTGGATCACCTGAGGTCAGGAATTCAAGACCAGCCTGACCAACATGGAGAAACCCCGTCTCTACTAAAAATACAAAATTAGCTGGGTGTGGTGGTGCATGCCTGTAATCCGAGCTATTTGGGAGGCTGAGGCAGGAGAATTGCTTGAACTCGGGAGGCAGAAGTTGTGGTGAGCTGAGATTGCATCATTGCACTCCAGACTGAGCAACAAGGATGAAACTCCGTTTCAAAAAAAAAAATAGACATGTAAAATTATTGTGCCACTGTACTTTAGTCTGAGTGACAAAGTAAGACCCTGTCTCAAAAAAAAAGTCAATATAATTTAGGAATTTAATATAGCGTATTAGATGCAGTTGAAGAGAATTAGTAACTGGCACTGGAGGCTGAGATAGGAGAATCCCTTGAGCCCAGGAATTTGAGGCTGCAGTGAGCTGTGGTCCTGCCACTGTACTCCAGCCTGGGTGACAAAACAAACAAACATGGAAAAAGATAAGAGAATTAATAACTGGTAAGTAGATCAGAAGGAAATTCAGATTGAAGTATGAAGAGAGATAAAAGGATGAAAAACAGAGCAATGTGCGAGATTATTTGCAAGATGCTCATGATAACTCTTCCTGTTTCTTTGTATCTACACTGTGCACCATTATTTTGTAGCTCCTCCTTTCAAGAAGTAGAGTCTCTTTTCTTCCCAACCCTTGAATTTCAGCTGGCCTTTTGACTTGTTTTTTTTTTTGCCAACAGAATGTGGCAGAGGTGACGTATGACTTCTAAAGCCTAAACCTCAAATGGTTTTGTAGTTGTTGCCCTTGCAGTCTCAGAGCGAGCCTTCAGACTACCATATGAAGAGCCCATTCTGGCCTACTGGAGAAAGAGAGGTCACATGAGCAGAGATGAGTTGTCCCAGTGAAGGCCTCCTAGTCCTACTAGCTGACAATCAGCAGGACCACATTTGAGACATGTAAATGAGACCATATTTGACCATCTAACCCCAGTTGAACTGCCAGATGACTGTAGCTGCATGAGTTATTCCAGGCAAGATTAGAAGAACTGCCGCTTGTGCCCAGTTCAAAATGCTGATCCACACACTCATTAGCAAATAAAATGGTTCTATACCAAGTCACTAAGATTTTGGTGGTTTGTTAGGTATTAATGGATAATTGACACAGAAATTGATACCTAAAGGTATGCTATTGTCATAACAAAAAAGTAAAACACATGACATTGACTTTAAAACTGGTTCATAGGTGTAGGCTGGAAAATTGGTGAGGAGGACATTCATGAATTGGAGGAATGATGAACTGTTAAGGGAGACTGGGATAGCAGTGTAGTAATTGTTTTTGGAGTCTGGAAAAAAGATCCATGTAATAATGGAACAATTGGCCAAGAATGTTATCTGAGGTATCTTGGAAGATAAAGAATATATTTAATGAAGTCATGGTTCTGGTTAAGGAGCTCTCTACAAGTGTTTAAAGTGTCTGTGGAGTGCTTCTAGTTGCTTATACTAAGAAACTATAAAAGAGAGGTAAGCTAAAGAAGATATTTTGCTTGCAAGCAGGATTTACAGAAATGTACAGGACCCAGAACTTGTTGAAAATAGAATTGTTTCTCATTCCCAGTCTCGCCAGCTGCCAGAAGATTTGCAAAGTAAAAAATGCCTCAGAGTAAAGACCAAGTCAAGAGTGGCTGTGACTTTAAGGCCTCAGAAATCGTTAAATTATTAGCTAGTAAATTACCCTTTCAGCTAGAAAGATGCTTCTAAGTTTTTTTTTTTTTTTTTTTTTTTGAGACACAGTCTCACTCTGTTACCCAGGCTTAAGTGCAGTGTTGTGATCTCAGCTCACTGCAACATCCACCTCCTGGGTTCAAGCAATTCTCCTGCCTTAGCCTCCCAAGTAGCTGGGATTACAGGTGCCCACCACAGTCCCTGGCTAGTTTTTGTGTTTTTAGTAGAAATGGGGTTTCACCATGTTGCCCAGGCTGGTCTCAAACTCCTGACATCAGGTGATCCTCCCACCTTGGCCTCCCAAAGTGCTGGGATTATAGGTGTGAGCCACCATACCTGGCCCTAAGTATCTTAAGGGTACTATCTCACAGGAACCTGACATGCCCAAAGTATAGAGAGGTCTATGCAGACATGAGTTGTGGATGTGTCTTTTTGGGTGTCATATTGGGAAATGATTCATAGGAAAGCCATAAAGTTGTCAAGAGACTTGAGTGGATGAATGCACCAAGGGACTGAAAGGGCCAGAAACAGTTCAAAATGAAAAGCGACCTCTGAGACTTCAACTTTTATGCACAGGAAGCAGGCAGAAAGCTATTCAGCTGTAAACTGCTGTCATTTCAAATAAAAAGAGATTTCTCAGAGAGTGGAGTCAGGAGCCCAGAGGGCAGACAGAGCTAAGAGCAGGGGATGTGATGGATTAAGGACCCACTCCCAGGGAACCAAACTAGACCCTAAAAAGACAAAACAAAGCAAAAAGCATTTCCTGACCCTGGAGTAACGGAATCTACAACATGTACCTATCCAGATTTCAGAATTGCAATGGATCAGTGACTCCTATGTTTCTCCCATTTCCTCCTCTTTGAACAGGAATCTCATTTGCAGTTATTCTCTCCCAATATCATCATTAAATATTGGGAGTGTTGGGGCAGATAACTTGTCTTTTTAGTTCCCAGGTCTTTGGATCAAGAGAAACTGTACCTGAGGAGCTGCACGCAAGAACCTCATTTTCTTCCCGACATGACTCATGAGAAAAAGGACATCAAGCCCGATGCCATGATTGGATGAGACTTTGGGGGTCTTGGGAGGGGGTGAGTCTGTTTTGCATGTGGGAGGTATGTGAATTATTGTGGCCATAGGGTAGACCATAGTAAGTTGTTTGCAAGAGATGGCCCCAATAACTCCTCCCATTCTTGTATGTACACCCTTTGCAATGTGACTTTGCTGTTCCTCCCTTCCAGGAGTGGCATCTATTTTCTTACCCCTTGAATCTTAGCTGGCTTTTGTGGCTTGCTTTGACCATTAGAACATGGCCAAAGTGATGTGTAAATTCTAGAGCCTAGACCTCAAGAGGCCATACAGCTTCTGTGTTCACCCTCTTGGAACATAGCATTGAAGAAGCCTGGTCTAGCCTACTAGAGGATGAGAAGTCATATGCAATGGAGCCATATGCAGTGAAGATGAACAATTTCTGTTGAGGCTCCCTAGACCTACCAGCCAGCAGTCAGCATAAATCACCATCATTTGAGTGAGAATGTTCCACCCTACTCAAGCCACCAGATGATATGTATATAAGTGCAAGACTGGAAGAAGAACTGTCCAGATGAAGACAGCATCATAAAGGATTGATGTTCTAAGCAAGCCACTGAGTTTTGAGATGACTTACTACATGGCAAAACAGCATAAAAGACATGTGGGGTACAGTGAAATGGTCTAACATCATGTACTTTAAGTCTCAGGAGAAGAGAAAGAGAATGGAGCAGAAGCAATATTTTAGGAAATGATGAAGCAGAAGCCATATTTGAAGAGAGAAAGGCTAAGGATTTCTTTGAACAGATAAAAGATACCAAGGAAGTTTCAAAAAGCACTATGAGCCCTAAGCAGGACAAATACAGAGAACCACATCTACGTTTATCAGAGTAAATCTACCACTCTACCCCCTACAAAAGAGAGAAAATCTTAAAGTAGCTGATGAAAAAAGATTACTTTCAAAACAGTGGCAATAAGATTGACAGTTGACATCTCAGTATCTCAGTAGAAACAGTGAAAGCCAAAAATCATTGGGATTCTTTTTAAAGTGCTGAGAAAAAAAATAGTTGCCACTTTAGAATTCTGTCCCCAATGGCAATGTTCTTCAAAAGTAAAGATGGAAGTCCCTTGGCTGCAACAATACCATATATGATATAATGTGAACCAGCAAAGTATCTTGTCTGAAACAAGTTGTACATTTGTTTGTACAGAATATAGGATGGCAGTATTTTATCCCTGTTGGATTTGTGTATGTGTCTATGTTTTTAAATATTTAGTTGTTTAGATGCACCAGATGTTCATATGTTTTCACATTCATCAATTAATATTGATTATGTAAGAATGCAGCATCTTAAAGATACTAAAGGTGACAGGATGGACTGTATTTTATTCACTTTTGTATTCTGCTGATTAACATGGTCCCTGACATTTCTGGACCTCTGCTTGTTGAAATCAAAGCAGCTTATCAAGATAAATAGAATGTTTAAAATATAAGAATTGGGTTTTTTTCTTCCCCTTTTCTAATACAGGTTCAGGCTGAAGTTCCTGGATCTCCTATATTTGTGATGAGGTTAGCCAAACAATCTCGTCATCTGGAGGTGCAGATCTTAGCAGACCAATATGGCAATGCTATCTCTTTGTTTGGTCGTGATTGCTCTGTACAACGCAGACATCAGAAGATTATTGAAGAGGCACCTGCTGCTATTGCTACTCCAACAGTATTTGAACACATGGAACAGGTACATATATTAAAAGGCTTATAATTTATGTTTTCTTACACAGAACATTTTTCATTCAGTTCATGTACCAATCTGAGAATAATGTGATTTTAGGCAACAATTCTGAATAATTAATAAAATTATATCCTATTCTTAGAGAAAAAAAATTTACTGTTCTCCCACTGAGAGATTGTCAAGGAACATGTCAAGCTCTAAAAGTAGTTAACGCTTTCTAACAAACGTCAGTGTAACATTTTGATTAGGGATAAAGAAGAGAAATGCTTTGAAATTTTTAATCTTGTGATTAATTTTTTTTTGAGACGGAGTCTTGCTCTGTCACCAGGCTAGAGTACAGTAGCATGATCTTGGCTCATTGCAACCTCTGCGTCCCGGTGTCAAGCAATTCTTCTGCCTCAGCCTCCCGAATAGTTGGGACTATAGGCATGTGCCACCAGGCCCAGCTAATTTTTGTATTTTTAGTAGAGATGGGGTTTCATCATGTTGGCCAGGATGGTCTCAATCTCTTGACCTCATGATGATCTGCCTGCCTCAGCCTCCCAAAGTGCTGGGATTATAGGCATGAGCCACTGGGCCCGGCCATGATTGATTTTTTAAGAAGCTCATAATCAGGTAGTTTCATTTACTGGGTTGATTATCATCATGTCTTAAGTTGAATTTAATCAAGTCTATTATTGTTTTTGGAAATCCTCTAAATGTCTTGAGTTCATACATTCTATTTTATGTATAGAAAACAGTTTGTCAAAGTCATGAAGGATGCCTTGGGAATAACTCTAGTTTAAAGACCTGAACATATTCTTTTCTGGAGTCCAGACCCTGTCTTTTAATCAAAATATATTCTTGAAAATATATTTAATGTGTGTTAGAAGTTTATTTCCTATGTTGTGTATATATTAGGATGTACTCTTGAACTGCTGTAATAAAGATGCCTTCAAAATACAGGGGCTTGGCTGGGCATGGTGGCTCTTGCCTATAATTCCAGCACTTTGGGAGACTAAGGGGGACAGATCACTTGAGCCTGGAATTCGAGACCAGCCTGGGCAATATGGTGAAGCCCCATCTCTACTAAAAATACAAAAGTTAGCTGAGTGTTGTGGTACATGTCTGTAGTCTCATCTGCTTGGGAGACTGAGGTGGGAGGATCACTTGAGCCTGGGAAGTCAAAGCTTCAGTGAGCCTTGATCGTGCCACTGCACTCCAACCAGGGTGACAGAGCAAGATGCTATCTCAAAACAAATAAATAAGGAAAATACAGTGGCTTAAACAAGGTGTAAGTTTCAGAGATGAGCTGGTACCAGAAACAGGTTTATTTCTCACCTGTTGCCTGTTTTTGTAAATAAAATTTTATTGGAGTACAGTGATGCTTGTTTATGTATTATTTATGGCAACTGAATAATTGTGACAGGCTATATTGCCCAATCTGGCTCTTTACCAAAAAAGGTTCCCAAACTTTGCTCTAGGGCATTGTCATCTTTGTGACTGAGCTAATTAATTCACACAAGATTATATTCACATTGTAGCCTCTGGGAGGAAGAGATGGACATGGAGGGCAAGCATATGGAAGCATAATCTGGAAGTCACATACATCACTTCTCACATTCCTTTGGACAAAATTCAGTTATACAATTATACTTAGCACAAAAGATGCTAGGTATTGTGGTCCCTAACTAGGTGACCATGTGCTCAGCAAAAATTTCTATTTTATTCCTAAAATGATGAAGTAGAGAAAAGTCACTGGAGGACGTTTTATAATCTGTGCCTCAGTCTGCTCCTCTGGCTACCCATTATCCTTTCACATCCTTTTTCCTACACTTAGAGCACACTTAGGTTTCCCCAAGGAAGACAGCCTGAAGTCTTCCTTATAACTAGTAACAGGATGGGTTATTACTGGAGGTGATTTCAGATCTCTGTATGATGTACATTCCTCTCCATTAGATATGTATGTGACTTTTCATGGGCCAGCAACCCAAAATACAAGTTATTTACCCCTTGTCATTCCTCCCCTGCCCTCACCATAAACCCAATATACAATGATGAGAGCAGGATAACTCCCATTTGGAAAAATGAAAAATACGTAGCAATCATTGGTTCATAGCAGTTATCAAATCCTCCTTTCTGGGTAGGAATTGTGATGATTCTCTGCTGAATAGTAGAATACTACCTCAGTTAGACCTTCTGGCTGTCCCTGGTTCTGCTACTGCACACTCCAAAGAAGTATGATAAGTGAGTAAATCTCTTGTTCATTGTCCTTCAAGACACCTGATATTATTCTCTGGGAAGTTCTTCCCTGTTCAGTTTTCTCTGTAAGTTGGGCTTTGGAGACTATGCCTTCTTTGGCAGAACTTTCACAACCCACTTCCTTTTTGTGTAGTATTGAGGGCACAAACATTATCCCAATCATCAATTGCAGGCTTTTGAAGGCCAGGTTTGTGGTTTGTTTAGAAATACAATTCCTTCAAATACTTACTAAGCTTCCGGGCTATTTGTTTGCAGTCAGCTTTGGGTTGGATTAACCATACTCAAAGATTTCTTCTGGATACAGAAACTTTTCTTCTATTATTTACTGGCTTCTGTGCTTAGCCTGTCTCTCTTGCCTTGATTTTATATTGGCTATCTTGGGGCCAGCTGAAACTAAAGCAGCACGCTTAATCTGATCTTTGACACTGAGTTGCTTCAGGATGATAATCTCATTTGCTGTTTTGGGGGATACAAAAGAAGTTGGCTTTTTTGACACTCTGACCCTCTCAGACCATCTTTCTTAAGGTTTAGTTGGTATGTGGTCAGTATTTCAAGTTATTGTAGGAAACAGTTTACCATAACTTGTATTATGCCGACAAGGAACTTATCGCCTTTCCAGCCTGCAGTATTTGTTTCTCTGCTACCTACTACTCTTTTGGTAAGCTAGCATTTTATATTTTAATTTTTTTAAACAGCAACATTCTACCTGTACTTAATTCCTTTATCAGTTAGGAACTGCTATAACAAAAAGGTCCAAAAAACACAGTGGACCTTCAAAAAATGGAAGTTTATTTTTCTCCCATCCTAGTGTGAGATGAGCTTTTCAGGGCTGGTGGAAGTTTTTTATTCCATGAGGGCATCTTGTGATTCAGGTACTTTGCATCTTTCTTTCTTTTTTTTGCTGTTCTTAGTATGTTCTCATCTGCATGATTGAAACTGGCTTATACTATCATGACCATGTTCCAGAGACTAAGAAGGGAAAAGCCAGGAATAGAGAATGAGACAATTCCTTTTCAAAATATGACTTAGAGCCGGGTGTTGTGGCTCACGCCTATAATCCCAGAAGTTTAGGAGGCTGAGGTGGGCGGATCACCTGAGGTCAGGAGTTCAAGACCAGCTTGACCAACAAGATGAAAAACCATCTCTACTAAAAATACAAAAATTAGCCTGACATGGTGACACATGCCTGTGATTCCAGCTACTCAGGAGGTTGAGGCAGGAGAATGACTTGAATCTGGGAGGCAGAGGTTATAGTGAGCCGAGATTGGGCCACTGCAGTCCAGCCTGGGCGACAAAGCAAGATTGCATCTAAAAATATATATGTATGTATGTATACACATACAGACAGACAGACACACACACACGAATGACTTAGGAGTTATGCATATCACTTACCAGTGCTGATACCCTGTTTGTCAAAACTTAGTCACTAACCAGGCCGGGTGTGGTGGCTCATGCCTGTAATCCCAGCATTTTGAGAGGCCCAGGGGGATATGGATCACCAGAGGTTGCGAGTTTGAGACCAGGCTGGCCAATATGGTGAAACCTTGTCTCTACTAAAAATATAAAAATTAGCCGGGCATTGTGGCGCATGCCTGTAATCTCAGCTACTTGGTGGGCTGAGGCAGCAGCATCACTCAGAATCACTTGAACCTGGGAGGCAGAGGTTGCTGTGAGCTGTGAGATCATGCCACTGTACTCCAGCCTGGGTAACAGAGTGAAACTCTGTCTCAAAAAAAAAAAATCTAGTCTCTAGCTAGTTAGCTGTGTTTCTAGGAAGAAGAGGAGCACATTGGACATGCTGGAAACTGGACAAGAGTCTTTTCCTGTGTTTTTTTGTCTGTGTGCATTTATGTCTGATGGGGTGTGATTGCTTGTGATGCAAAGTGAAAAATACTCTTTTCTCCCAATTCATCATTGAGGTTTTCATCCATGTCCAGGGATATTGTATGATAATCAGAAAGGGTGAAATGTGCTCTAATGTGGCTAAAAGCCTTTATGGCTCTTATACACACTGAATAGTTGAGTCAGCGAGAGGCTGTAATGGTTCAGCAGTTGGATACGCTGAGATACTTACTTTTGCTTCTCTCTCTTTGAGTGTGCGGTGAAACTTGCCAAAATGGTGGGTTATGTGAGTGCTGGGACTGTGGAATACCTGTACAGCCAGGATGGCAGCTTCTACTTTCTGGAATTGAATCCTCGGCTACAGGTGGAGCACCCTTGTACAGAGATGGTGGCTGATGTCAATCTCCCTGCAGCACAGCTCCAGGTGAGTCTCCCTGATCCAGGTTGTGGAGCCTAGTGAAGTCAGAGAGGTCTGAAAAATGGGTTTAACCAGTGTCTGATAAGAGAAAAGCACCTTCTGTCTGAGTCTCACCTAATGTTCATTTCTCATTCAGGCTGTATGGGTTACACATGTGTGGGTTGGTTTATCTGATGTAGTACAGACATAGGAATGTTACTGTTTTTTCTAATACAATGTGTCATACTTTAGAAATAAATGTTAATAGTATGATTTATTCAATTATTTAGCTATAGTAAGCTTCACAACTTTGTATTGTAATTATTCCCTACTCATTTTTTTTTTTTTTTTTTTACTGGTGTTCTTTATTGAAATAATTTTGCATCGGGGAATGGTGGTTGAAGTTTTTCTTGACAAGATTGTGGTAGCACACATATTTTTTATAATTTGTAAAGTGCTTGCTGTCAATATTATTGTCTTCTCTCAGCCCAGGAAACAAATATTATGGAAAGCAGTAATAGTTAATGATAAGGTTCAATATTTTTATATAATATTGTTTGCCCACATTGAGAACACCTTTGGGTTGCTATTAAAGACTAAAGATTTATTTACTTCCTCCAGTGGTTTACAGTGATGAAAGAGATAATTATGACACAATTAAGATTTTCTAGCTGTCTGGTTTGGGATAGCTATTAACGTTTACTCCTCCCTTGGATATTTTCATTCTCACTACATGATAGAGAAATGACAACAGAGGGGAACTCGTGTCTGTTGCATTAGGAATGTGGGGACTTCTTTAGGAGTGGAGAATATTCTAACTACTTATCTGTAGTGATATGTTGTATTTCAAGCAACTTAGTTGATGATTATAGAATATAGGTTATAAAAATAGAATGTTTTAGGGAGTGGCTCCAAAAAATTTTTTAGATTATTGGCTAGCCTCTACACTTTAAGGGAAGTAACTGGAAAATTAATGATGTGTGTTTTATTACCTTTCAGATTGCCATGGGGATTCCTCTATATAGAATCAAAGATATCCGTATGATGTACGGGGTATCTCCCTGGGGCGATTCTCCCATTGATTTTGAAGATTCTGCACATGTCCCTTGCCCAAGGGGCCATGTTATTGCTGCTCGGATCACTAGTGAAAATCCAGATGAGGTAACCCATCACTTAAAAGGTTTATACCTCCTCTTAATAAACCTTAATGTTGAGATAGTATCTGAGCGTATACTTCTGAAATATCTTGGGACTTTCTCTGGAGAGGGAACTGCAGAGGTTTCTCTGAGCAGATAAGTAAATGATCATTGTTTCATTGGTCATTTAATCCACTTAAGTCACTATAGAGTCTTCAGTGGGTCTGTAGCACTGGGTCTTGGACTTTATAATTTTTGTGTCTTTTCTGCTTCTGCGTGTGATTAACAAAGAACTTAAACAGTGAATGTATAAATGTTCTCTTCCTTCAAAACATAATGCAGTCTCCTTCTTTATTCTGTAACAGGGTTTTAAGCCCAGCTCAGGAACAGTTCAGGAACTAAATTTCCGCAGTAACAAGAATGTTTGGGGATATTTCAGTGTTGCTGCTGCAGGGGGACTTCATGAATTTGCTGATTCTCAGTTCGGTCATTGCTTTTCCTGGGGAGAAAACAGAGAGGAGGCAATTTCGTGAGTATAATAGCATTTGATTACATTTTACAAAATAAATTTGTGTTAATCTTAAGTGAAGGTATGAGCATGGGAATAGGAAAGATCCGCAGTCAAAGTAATAATAAGAACAACCTTTTTGAAGAAATCTTGAATATCTTTAATTGCACTTGCATTCGTGTTGTGTTAAATTATGTAGTGCTTGGCAGATGTTTTTCTGATTGTTCTTCTGAGCCTTTTAAAGTATTTTTCCTTTCAAAATTTTTGATAAATATATAAAATCGATTGCTTTAAAGATATCTTATTTTTCCACAGGAACAGTATTGTTATTGAGGAGAGGTAGATCGTTGGCCAAAAACTAGGTATCAAATAAATCATAGATTTTTATTTTATTTTTTCTGGTGAGAAGACTTAAAATCTATTAGCAGTTTTCAAGTACACAGTCTATTGTTATGAGCCATAGTCACCATGATGTACTCTTACAATCATTTAAAATAATAAAATTATACTGCTCATTTTATGAAAAGGACATAAAGACATTGTCTACATTGCTTATATAAGAGACCTTAGTGTGCTGTAAAGTATATAACAGCATATGCAAATATAACTGCTATATCATAAATGTTAGATAATATTCAGAGTCTTTCTCTGTCGCCAAGCTGGAGTGCAGTGGCATGATCTTGACCCACTGCAACCTCCACCTCCTAGGTACAAGCGATTCTCCTGCCTCAGCCTCCCAAGTAGCTGGGATTACAGGCACGCTCTGCCAGGCCTGGCTAATTTTGTCAACCTGTCTTTTCTTTCCTCTGCTTCATCGTTCTTGCTATTTCCTTTGTTCATTCATTCATTCATTCATTCATTTTTTTTTTGAGATGGAGTACCCGCCACCACACTCAGCTAGTTTTTCTATTTGTAGTAGAGATGGATTTCACCATGTTGTCCAGGCTGTTCTTGAACTCCTGACCTTAAGTGATCTATCTGCCTGGGTCTCTCACAGTGCTGAGATTACGAGCATGAGACACGTGCCAGGCCTATTCATTCATTCTATTCAACAAATACTTACTGAGTATCTACTAAGTACTGGTTCTGGCAGTCATTGAGGTCCAAAGTAGTAACTTTGTCCTCACAAAACTTTACAATCCATAGGGTATAAGACAATTGGCAATTAAAATACAATGTAGAAAGTATGATGGTAGTTGGATTATTTAAGTTCATTGTAAGATCATACAGAGAGTCAATTAAGTCAGTCTAGAGGGGGTCTGGGAAGGCTTCCCAGAAGATAGTGACATCTAGATTGATACTTGAAAAGTTTGTAGAAGTAAGTCAAGTCAAAGGAGGACATAGAAAGGAGAACAGAGGTGGGCAACAGAATAATACTTTAGGCTGAGGGGAATACCTGGACCACCTGGAATATGATTCTTCTCACAGTTATAATTATCAGCTATACTTTTAGCCCATGTCAGATTCCACATTTTTCATAAAATCGTGAGGAGGTGAATTTCTCCCTTCTTACAACCTCTCCAGGACTTTGCTTAAGTATCTTCATTGCCATTGATGATATTCTGCCATATATTTTGAAAGTGATTATTGTATATATGTTCTTTTTTCCTTACCACCATAGTATATGTCTTATTAGTATGAAGTATGTAATAAGTGTTGAAGTAAGTGCCTGTCCTGTGCAGGATAGACAGTGGGCATAAATATAGAGAAAAGCCCTATGGTATTTGAAATTCTGCTAACATTGGATCCCTTTGCACTGGGAAGTAATAAAAGTAATGAGTAAATCATTGCATAGATATCCAAAATGCAGTTTAAAAAACACTCACATGCAGTGTCAGGCTGATACATGACTGCACCCAGAGAGTTGCTTCACTGTATGGAAATCTTTAAATTAAGCACTTGTGAAAACTCATTGAACTGTATACTTAAAATAAGTATATTTTACTGTATGTAAATTATACATAAAATAAATAAGGTATAAGGATAGGGAGAATTAATGCCCTAGTTCTTGTTAGCTAACAATAAATGAATGGAATAAGGGAAACTTAGTAAGTAAAAGCTGAGGCTAGTTTGCTTATAATTTCTTATAATTTGCTCTGTACTCATTATAATGAAATGTATCTGATTTCCTGATGCTCTTATGGTAATATCAGTTAGAATTCATAAGTTTACTGACTTTTTGCAAATTTTCCTCTTTGGAATGTGTATGAATGAGCACAGTTAACATGTGCACCCTTGTTTGTGCAACTGCTTCTCTCCCTTCCCTCTCAAGATTCCAAAGGAATGAAAGTTCTTTAAAATGATCAAAAAACATTGAAGTGTTTGTTGCTGAAACAGATTGGCTTCTGTTCTTTTCCCAGAAACATGGTGGTGGCTTTGAAGGAGCTGTCTATTCGGGGTGACTTTCGAACTACAGTTGAATACCTGATCAAATTGTTAGAGACTGAAAGCTTTCAGATGAACAGAATTGATACTGGCTGGCTGGACAGACTGATAGCAGAAAAAGTACAGGTGTGTATTTCTCTACTTGCACAAACAGCTTCTGGGACTGGGTTTTTATAGACTTGTGCGTTCAATCCCTGTCACTAAATGAAATTGATCCTAATCTAAATGGTTCTTGATCTACCTGGAAGAATCTAGGAGTCAGTGTAATTTTAGCACTCTAATAGTTCCTGTGCTTGTGTAACACAGTCATTTTATGTTCTAGTATTATTTCCTAAGGTATATTTGAGGAGAAGCATGCAGAGATTGAAATACTTTTCTTTTTCTTCATTTAATGTTAAATCTAGTCCATAGTTACCAAATTCTGCCAAATGCTGAAGAGAGAGGGCTCATTTAAATCAAGAGTTACCACTTATTCCTCAATTCCTGGGGCTATCCCAAATTATCCAAGATTTTGTATAAAATTATTAGATTCACATAAATTGTTTGAAGGTCCAAATTTTGGCTATACACTATTTTTCTTTGAGATTATCAGTAGCCAAATCTTTGTATATTTTTAAATTCATTTCTGTCAAAAACCTATTTTTGAGTCTTAGTCGTTTTTCATTTCACTTCAAATGGTGCCTGTAATCAAATTCTAAAAGTGAATGTGTTCATTTCTATCTAAAAAATCAGTTGGGCAATGAAAATGGAGACTTTCATTGATAACTGTTTCATCACAACAAATTTCATCACAACAAATCTGATTTCATTTAAGAGGCCATGGTGCCAAGTGACCATGCATTTGATCTGCCCTTTTTCCTCCTTTCAGGCTGAGCGACCTGACACCATGTTGGGGGTTGTGTGTGGGGCCCTCCATGTGGCAGATGTGAGCCTGCGAAATAGCATCTCTAACTTCCTTCACTCCTTAGAAAGGTAGGCTTTGTTTCTTGTAGGCTACAGAAACTAACCAAAGGTCCTGCGTACAGGGACTGAAGCTCAAAGACCCATTTATTCTTCTGTCCATTCCTGGAAGCTTATGTGTGCTACTTGTTATTCATGGACGATGGTGGCAAGAAAGAGAGGGGATATTGACGTTTATGACAGATTCTAGACATTAACTTATGCCACAGTTAGAACAGGTTGGTTCTTTAAACACTGGAATCCAGCTGCAATAGATATTCTGTCCTGAATAAGTATCAAATCTCCCCAAACCCTGGTGATAAAAATCTGGTATTTCTCCCTAGCATTGAACCCTAAATATTTCATGTATTACCTGTACCACCTTTCAGAAGTAAATAATTAAGGCTGATATTCAGGATGACCTCTTGACTCTTTCAAGTAGAGGGTCAGACATCTATGGGGCTAAACTAATATCTAATGCTGATTCAGGAGACTAAGCTCTGCCTGAGTCCCCAGAGGAATGGTCCAAGCGGCTAATCATTTTAAAGCACTTTAATCACAGGCACTTTTATTTCCTTCTGTGTTGTTAGACTTATATCAATTCCCTTTTGAGGTTTCTGAAAGAAAGAAAAGAAACAAATTGTAAAAAATTGAACTGAGATTTCGGAGTTATTCAAGCCCTATGATAAGTATCTTTCACTAGGTTACTCTCATGCAGTAAAACCTTCAGCAGCTTGGTGTTTCTCTTCCGTATCGAATCTAAATCTCTTGGTGTGAATTTCAACTCCCTATATACATTGTCCCCTCTTAACAATCCAGTCCTATTTATTTCTGTTCTGCAATATATAATCTCTAATCTAGTTAAATAGTTTTCTTATTTATTGGTGTACAAATGTGTCAAATGCAGTTTCCTCTACAAGCCCCCCTCCCTCCTTTTAAAATGCTTTTGTTTTTAACTTATTTTAAAAACTTGTGTTTTGAAATAATTTTAGGTTTTTAAGAGTTGCATGAATAGTACAAATAATTTCTATATATTATTATATAATTTCTTTGCTCAGATTCACCAATTAACTAACAACTTATCACCATGCTTTATCACTCTTTTGCTACTTTTAGCAAAAATTTTTCTTGTTAACGTTTCTCTCCTTGGTAATGTTCTCCCTTTCTTTCCCGTCCACCCAGCCTACTGTCTTTCTTTTTTTTTGAGACGAAGTCTTGCTCTGTTGCCCAGGTTGGAGTGCATTGGCACGATTTCAGCTCACCACAACCTTTGTCTCCCAGGTTCAAGCAATTCTCCTGCCTCAGCCTCCCAAGTAGCTGAGACTACAAATAATTTTTGTATTTTTAGTAGAGATGGGGTTTCCCCATGTTGGCCAGGATGGTCTTGATCCCTTGATCTTGTGATCTTCTTGTCTTGGCCTCCCAAAGTGCTAAGATTACAGTTGTGAGCCACCTCGACTGACCTTAATCCTTATCTTTAAAACAGTTAACACATTCATGTGGTTCAAAATTCAAAGGCACAAAAAAGATGCAAAGTGAAAAGTCTCTTATCTCTGTTCCTTGGCCACCCAGTTTCCTTCCCCTATAGTAAATTCATATTACCAATTTCTTCTCTAACCTTCCAAAGATATCCTAAACTGACATAAACATGTACATGTGTATTAGTCTGTTCTCATGCTGCTAATAAAGACATACCCAAGACTGGCTAATTTATAAAGGAAAGAGGTTTAATTGAGTAACAGTTGTATATGGCTGAGGAGGCCTCACAATCATGGCAGAAGGTAAAGGAAGAGCAAAATCACATCTTTCATGGTGTCAGGCAAGAGAGAAAATGAGAGCCAAGTGAAAGGGATTTCCCTTTATAAAACCATCAGATCTCATGAGACTTATTTACTACCATGAGAACAGTATGGGGGAGCTGCCCCCATGATTCAGATAACTCCCACCAGTTCCATCCCACCGCACATGAGAATTATGGGAGCTACAATTCAAGATGAGGTTTGAGTGGGAACACTGTCAAACCATATCAACATGTAATAGTTGTTTCTTCCCACCTTCTGGTTTTTTAAAACTCAAATGGTAGCATACTATGAAACTGTTCTTTACCTTGCCTTTTTCACTCAACAGTATGTGTATGTGTGTATGTATGTATATATATATATGTGTGTGTGTGTGTGTGTGTGTATATATGTGTATATATATATATGTGTGTGTATATATATACATATATATATATATTTTTTTTTTTTTGAGACAGTCTTGCCCTGTCGCCAGGCGCTAGTCTGGAGTACAGTGGCACAATCTCATCTCACTGCAGCCTCTGCCTCCCGGGTTCAAGCACTTCTCCTGCCTCAGCCTCCTGAGTAGCTGGGACTACAGGCATGTGCTACCACCACACCCAGCTAATTTTTGTATTCTTTAGTAGAGACAGGGTTTCACCATGTTGGCCAGGATGGTCTGTATCTCTTGACCTCATGATCTGCCCGCCTCAGCCTCCCAAAGTGCTGAGATTATAGGCGTGAGCCACCATGCCCGGCCAACACTTATTTTTTATAAGTGTTTATTAGTTCACATCTTTTTAATGTCTGTATATTTTCTTGCATATATGAAAACATGTTCAACATCACTAAACATTAAGTAAATCAAATCATTAAGTAAACCATAATGAGATATCATCTCACACCCATTAGGATGCCCATTTGTGTACTCTTGATATGAATGTAAAATGATGCAGCCACTATTGAAAAATGGCATTGCTGTTGTTCAAAAAATTAAAAATAGAATTACCATATGATCTGATAATACCACTTGTGGGTATTCTGAAATAATTGAAAGCAGGGTCTGAAAGAGATACTTGTACAGTGACATTCATAGATTATTCACAGTAGCTAAAAGATGGAAGCAACTTAGATGTTTGTTGATGGGTGACTGGATGAACAAAATGTGGTATCTACATACAATAGAATATTATTCAGCCTTAAAGAGGAAGGAAATTCTGACACATGCTAAAACATAGGTAGAGCTTAAGGACATTAGGGCAAGTGAATTGAGCCTATCACAAAAAGACAAATACTATGTGGTTTTACTTATGTGAGGTATCAAAAGTAGTTATACTGATAGAACTAGAAAGTACAACGATGGTTACAAGGGACTGGTGGGAGGGGGAAATGGGGAGTTGTTAATGGGTACAGAGTTTCGCTTTTGCCAGACGAAAAAGTCCTGGAGATTGGTTGCACAATAGTGTCCATATCCCCAACACTATAGAACTGTACATTTTGTAATGGTTAAGATGACAAATGTAATATGTATTGTACTCTAATTAAAAAAAAAATCCATTATATGATTCTTTCATAATTGATGTGATCAATTCCTTACAAATGATCATTTAGGGCTGGGCGTGGTGGCTCATGCCTGTAATCCCAGCACTTTGGGAGGCTGAGGCGGGCGGATCATGAGGTCAAGAGATCAAGACCATCCTGGCCAACATGGTGAAACCCTGTCTCTACTAAAAATACAAAAATTAGCTGGGTGTAGTGGCTCATGCCTATAGTCTCAGCTACTTAGGAGGCTGAGGCAGGAGAATTGCTTGAACCTGGGAGGCAGAGGTTGCAGTGAGCCGAGATCATACCACTGCACTCCAGCCTGGCGATAGAGTGAGACCCCATCTCAAAAAAAAAAGATCATTTAGGTTTTTCTAGTTTTTTATTACTCTAGGAAATGGTACAGTTGATAATCTTTTAGATTTCCTTATTAACTGTTAGAACTTTGTAGTAAGTGTCTGTCTCGTTGTTCTTTCAGGGGTCAAGTCCTTTCTGCTCATACACTTCTGAATACAGTAGATGTTGAACTTATCTATGAGGGAGTCAAATATGTACTTAAGGTATGCTGAATCTCATTTGGGGCTTGAACCTTGATTTTTAGCTATCTTTCTTTAGGTTAAGAGGCAGGAGAAAAAGTTTATAATGCAGGATGGGGGTGTTAGTAAAATTGTAGTCATCATTTGTGTCAGGAGCATTTGTTGTTCTAATGAAAACTTTTTTTGTTCTTCAACTTGACGTATGCCACCAAGATAAAGGAGAGACAGGGAACAGCCACAGTTGGGAAAAACAACTGAGATGCCCTCTTTGCTCACAGCAGGACTGAGCCATGCCCACAGACACTGATGCTATTTGCCATGTATTTTCTTCCTCCTGACAGATCTTTCTTATCTGAATTTTTGAAACATTCAAATTTTGTTTGGAGCTGTACCTGGAAGGGATACACTGACCCTCATTCTCATTCCTTACAGGTGACTCGACAGTCCCCCAACTCCTATGTGGTGATTATGAATGGCTCATGTGTAGAAGTAGATGTACATCGACTGAGCGACGGTGGACTGCTCTTGTCCTATGATGGCAGCAGTTACACCACGTATATGAAGGAGGAAGTGGATAGGTAAGTGGCTGTTTGAGGTCCATTTGCTGGTCATCTTAGTAGCCTTATTGCTTATTAGTTACTAGCTCTTGGGATTTTTCCAGGCTTTTTTGGTACTCATTTGTAGTTAAAAATAGTACATGCACTTAAAAATATCAAGAGTACAAAAGTGTTTACAATTAAAAATGTGTCTCCCTACCACTCCAGTGTATGTGGACAATGAAAAGTAAGTTCCTTTCTTTATAAGTAACATTGTTAAAAGTTTCCTATATATTTGAGTAGAGATTTTAGATATGCCTATACAAGTTACATTCATGTACACATTGTTTTTCCTTTAAATACATTTTTTTAAATACAAATATTCAACATTGGTTATGATATGAGAATGAAATGAATTAACATGTTGAAAATGTGTAGAACATTGCCACAACATAGCTAGGGTTCAAGAAATATTGGCTATTACATCATCAATATCTTGGCGTGTGTTTTTTTTAAATGGTGGTACTTGTTATTTTTAATAGTCATATAGTATTCCATTATGTGGTTGTACTATAATTTTCTTAATCTGATTCTTATTGAAGGAAATTTTTGTTACTTGAATTGTAAACAAAGATGCAGTGAATGATGTGTGTGTGTGTGTGTGTAAAATAAAGTTCTCAGGATTTTTTTTCTCTACCATTCTCCTTTACATCCTGAGGTGCTTTATTAGCTTACATACTTCCACTTGTCTCCTAGATATCGCATCACGATTGGCAATAAAACCTGTGTGTTTGAGAAGGAAAATGACCCATCGGTGATGCGCTCACCTTCTGCTGGGAAGTTAATCCAGTACATTGTAGAAGATGGAGGTCATGTGTTTGCTGGCCAGTGCTATGCTGAGATTGAGGTCAGGCTGGTGAATGGACTGGACTCATGGGAGGAGAGGGTAGGAAAAGGTTGGCTTGGTTGGACTAAGACTGGAAAGTGACAGAAAGGAGGCTGGGTGCAGTGGCTCGTGCATGTAATGCCTGCACTTTGGGAGACTGAGGCAGGAAGATCACTTGCACTCAGGAGTTTGAGACTAACCCAGACAAGATGGTAAAACCCTGACTTTACAAAAAATTAAAAAATTAACATGGTACAGTGTCACATGCCTGTAGTCCCAGCCACTCTGGTGGTGAAGGCAGGAGGATCCCTTGAGCCCAGGAATTCAATGGCAGTGAATGGTAATTGTACCACTGTACTCCAGCTCGGCCACAAGTCAACACCCTATTTCTTAAAAAAAAAAAAAAAAAAAAAAAGGAAAGAAAGAAAAAAGATAACAGAATGGAAATAATGAAAAAGAAACATCAGTTGGCTTAATTGGAAGTGTGAACCTTAAGATTTTTAAAACACATAAAAACACTTTGGCAAATGAGGAATCTCTAGCTCTAAAACTATATACTAGGTACTAGCACTTATGGAATGTTATGCATGCTAACTGCTGGCTATCGAGAGAAAATACATGGAACTGGGGCACAAAACAGACAAGTAATGAATTTGATTAATTTTAAGAGACCTAAGCATAGAGTGCAGAGGGTCACTTAAACCAAATCAAAGTAAGCTTATATGGGAAGATACTCTGAAGAGACATTTGATCTTAGTTTTGAAAGATAGATAGTAATAGAGCAGGTGAAGAAGGGCAGGGAAGAGTGCTTCACATTGAAGGAATAGCATGTACACAGACAGGAGCAAGAGAGCCCGGTGTATTTAGGGAACTGCAAAATGTATTGGTGTGGCTTGAGCATAGACTAAGCTTTAATGGGGAGGGACAAACAAAGATGATAAAGAAGTAATGTGAAATCTTGAATGTGAGATTATGAAGGATCTTATAAGCCATATACTAGTAAGTTTACACTATCCTAGAGGCAGTGAGTAATCTCTGAACAATTTAAGTGGAAAACTAGTATGATGAGATTTGGGCTCTAGAATGATTGCTGTTAGTGACCTTGCTGGAGGTATATAGCAAGTAGGTAAATCTCTTAGGAGGTCTTTGAAGTACTTTGGGCCAGAGATGAAGAAGGCCTTACCCGAAGAGATGGCAAGAGAGGAAGATTTTTGAGAAAGGTTTAGAAGATATACACAGGTGGGTTGGTAATTGGTAGGTAAGGGAGAAAGAGGAGTGAAGAATGATTCTTAGCGTTTGGCCTGGATTTCTTAAATTGGATTCACTGGTATGAAGAGATTAAATTGTTCCTCACTTTCCAAGTACAAAACAAGGAAAATCATAAATTATGCCAAAATGGATTTAAAAGTAAGAAATGAGGAATGTCAATAACTGTTACTAATTCCTAAAGTGAGGTACTGAGAGATTATCTAACTGCCCACCTTGATAGTCCCTAGGAAATGTTGGTAAATTCCCATGTTTTTCTGGGTTGAATTAGCTGTGGCCCAACTTAGATGCTAAGGGAAAAATTGACCTATTTTAAGCATTCACCTGTGTAAAAACAGATTAGACTCTAATTTATTTTTCGCTACAGGTAATGAAGATGGTGATGACCTTAACAGCTGTGGAGTCTGGCTGTATCCATTACGTCAAGCGACCTGGAGCAGCTCTTGACCCTGGCTGTGTACTAGCCAAAATGCAGTTGGACAACCCTAGCAAGGTTCAGCAGGTGAGTAGGAAGGCACTCCAAATATTTCTCTCTAAGAGCTAAAGAACTTGGTGGTTTAGAGAGGCAAGTGATTTCAGTGCTTGGTTTGCCAGTGTTTTCTTTAGCTTTGCCCCCTATTAATCTTATGCCTTGTATATGTACCTGTAGTATTATGGAACTAGAGTTTGCAAGAGTTACTGTAATACTAAGATTCTATAATTTCCTTATAATGTTTCCTCCATTGACTTCCCGCCTGGTAGCTGGGTATGGTAAAAGGATGTCTCGATTTTGAATGATGACTCAAGTTGCAGTGGTGTGTTTGTACCATAGATCAAAAGTAGTAGATGACTTGATCTCTTGTTGGGGTTGACAGGCTGAGCTTCACACTGGTAGTCTGCCACGGATCCAGAGCACGGCACTCAGGGGCGAGAAACTCCATCGAGTGTTCCATTATGTCCTGGATAATCTGGTCAATGTAATGAATGGATACTGCCTTCCAGATCCTTTCTTTAGCTGCAAGGTATGAATCACATCTCTTGGAGAAGGGATGTACAAATAGGGTACTTATGCTCTAAAACAGTTGAAAGTCTCGTGATGATTATTTAAGAGGGAAGAAAAGAAAGCTGTTTGGCCTAAAACTCCCACCTTCAGTTATGGGACTTGAGATCTTTAAATCCATGGTTTTTTTTTCTATGTTCTATTAAACTGGAAATTAAGAATCCATGTTTCTTGTCCTTGTCATAGACTTCACATTTAATTGTTGTGATTACTCCTTTTTTTTTTTTTCTCTCGAGAAACTGGAGAATGGGACAATGTTAAATGCTTACACTGCAATTTCAAAGTACTATGTGATAGTTGGCCAGGTGTGGTGGCTCACACCTGTAATCCTACCACTTTGGGAGACTGAGATGGGATGATTGCTTGAGGCCAGGAGTTTGAGACCAGCATGGTCAACATAGCAAGGCCCTATCTCTATTGAAAATTATATAAATTTTATATTGAAAAAAAGTAGTATATGATAGTGAATTCAGATATAGTTGACTCTTGAACAACACAGTTTTGAACTCTGTGGGTCCACTTCTGTGGATTTTTTCAGCCAAACATGGGTCAAAATTACAATATTTTTGGGATATGGAGCCCACAACTTTTCATATTCATGGGTTTCGTAGGGCTTAAGTATGTGTAGATTTTCATATATGAGAGGTGGTCCTGGAACCAATTTCCCACATGATGTATTAAATGACAACTGTATATCTTTTTATTTGGGGGAATTGTGTTAACTTTGGGTCCTGTTTTACCAATGCTTTCTTTTTAGGTAAAAGACTGGGTAGAGCGATTGATGAAAACCCTCAGAGATCCTTCCCTGCCTCTCCTGGAATTGCAAGATATCATGACCAGTGTGTCTGGCCGCATTCCCCCCAATGTGGAGAAGTCTATCAAGAAGGAAATGGCTCAGTATGCTAGCAACATCACATCAGTCCTCTGTCAGTTTCCCAGCCAGCAGGTATTTATAGGTTAACACTGTCTTTATTTTTTTCTGGCTACCAATGCTCAAGTTCATATTGTAGGATTCCTTCCTATTTGTATCTTTCTTACTTTTTGGATGTTGTACTTGTATACTTTTAAGCATTGTATTCCTCACAAAACTACCTCAGTGTACAAACCCAATAGTGAAAGTACTGTATGTGAAGTATAAAATATCTGTGGTTATGAGAAAAGCACACTTGGACCATGCAGGCCATATAGCTTTGTTCCTGGTCTATTCTCTAATTAGAGGTATTTTCATGAATTGAAGGTAGAGGAATATTAGTAGTTTTATTTGTTTATTTACTTTTTGAGATGGATTCTAGCTCTGTCGCTAGACTGGAGTGCAGTGGCGCTATCTCAGTTAACCACAACCTCCGCCTCCCGGGTTCAAGTGATTCTCCTGCCTCAGCCTCCCAAGAAGCTGGGATTACAGGCACATGCTGCCATGCCAAGCTAAATTTTGTAATTTTAATAGAGATGGGGTTTCACTGTGTTGGCCATGATAGTCTTGATCTCCTGACTTCATGATCCTCCCACCTCGGCCTCCCAAAGTGCTGGGATTACAGATGTGAGACACCATGCCTGGCTGTTTTATTTATTTTTGAGACAGGGTCTCTCTCTGTTGCTCAGGCTGGAATGCAGTGGCACAGTCACGGCTCGCTGTAATCTTGACCCCATAGGGCCCAATGGATCATCCTACCTCAGCCTCCCAAGTAGCTGAAACTACAGATGTGCACCACTATGCCCAGCTAATTTTTAAAAATTATTTATAGAGACCGACATCTCACTATGTTGCCCCAGTTGGTATTAAACTCCTGGGCTCAAGTGATCCTCCCTCCTTGGCCTCCCAAAGTGCTGAGATTACAGGTGTGAGCCACCACGCATGGCCTATTGGTAGTTTTATTTCAGTGACATTCTTACTACCTTGGGAGTATCTTTACTCTTTACCCATAAAGCAGATGTACATGTAGGGAGTATAGGTAGACAAGTGGGGAGTGAAGTTTAGATCTTGACCTTGAACAGATCTTGGTAAGGTAATAGTTTCTGTAATGTAGTCATTAATTCATCTGGGAAAGGTTGACACAGGATAAAATCTGCCCCTATATAAACTATGCTCAGTAACTTCCAGCTGCTGCCAACATGTGAGAGATGGGAATTGTCATGTTATAACAAGAAGATTCCTAGTGGTGATGCTATAGAGGCTAATGCTTTGGGTTGGGCCTCATTTTCTTCCCTTTTTTATACCTTAGATTGCCAACATCCTAGATAGCCATGCAGCTACATTGAACCGGAAATCTGAACGGGAAGTCTTCTTTATGAATACTCAGAGCATTGTCCAACTGGTGCAGAGGTAGTAACTTGTAACTTCAGATCCCCAGACCTGTCCATGCTCATGCCTTCCTTTCTTTTAAGTAGTTACCAAGAGATTTACCTCAGATTTGTCTTCAAGAAATTAGAAAGCACCTTATATCTTAGAAAGTACCTTGTATCTTCTAAATATCTTAGAATTGAGAGCTAACTCTCATGCTCAATATTTCTGACTTCTTGTCTACATTTTTCCCTGTCAGTTATTTATTATTGTATTATTTTTTGAGACAGGATCTCATTGTGTCACCCAGGCTGGAGTGCAGTGGCTCAGTCATGGCTTACTGCAGCCTCAATTTCCTGAGGCTCAAGTGATTCTCCTGTTTCAGCCCCCGAGTAGCTGGGACTACAGGCATGTACCACCACATCCAGCTAATTTTTATATTTTTAGAAGAAGGAGGGTTGTGCCATATTGCCTAGGCTCGTCTCAAACTCTTGGGCTCAAATGATCCACCCACCTTGGCCTCCCTAACTATTGGGATTACAGGCATAAGCCACTGCATCTGGCCTTCAGTTATTAAGGTACAGAAATGGTGTTGTTTTATTTTACCTTGCCATTTTGATGATGCTCCTAATTTTTCTTCTGGTACAGGGCCCAGTATGACATTTTTTTTTTTCTTAGATTATGGAGCCTATTGTATTAGGTTTGTGCAAAAGTAATTGTGATTGTTGCTATTAATACTGAAGGGATAGTCACAGAGCATTTTTATTTATTTACTTACTTACTTTTTGGAGACAGGGTCTCACACGTCACCTAGGTTGTAGTACAGTAGCACAATTTCAGTTCACTGCAACGTCTGCCTCCCAGGATCAAGCGATCCTTCCACCTCAGCCTCTTGAGTAGCTGGGACTATAGGCACATGGTACCATACTTGGCTAATGTTTTCATTTTTTTTTTTATATAGGGTTTTGCCATGTTGCTCAGGCTGGTCTGGAGCTCCTAGACTCAAGCAATGCTCCTGCCTTGGCCTCTGAAAGTTCCAGGATTACATATGTGAGCTGCGGCACCCTGCCTCACAGAGCACTTTTAATTTTAAGATACTTATAAATTTTTCAGATATCTCAGCGAATTCTAGAGTATGATAATAATTTCTACTTAGCAGTTAGAAACTGAATCAAGGTGTTGGTAGGTGGGGTTGTGCAAGTTTTTGTTGTCTTGTCTTCTTTATTAAAAAAGGTCTTGTCTATGGTGAGATTTCTTTTAGGCTTAGAATGTAAGTTGATTTTGTAGTTCATTTCAGGCTGTTCTTTATTCAGAGGGAAAGCAGTTCAGTTGGAAAGTCGTGGAGGTAAATTTGGCCTTTGGGTTTATTATTTAATAGTGTTGGCTTGTCAGGTTTTTCAGAGGAGACTTTCTATTTGCCTAGGTACCGAAGTGGCATCCGAGGCCACATGAAGGCTGTGGTGATGGATCTGCTCCGGCAGTACCTGCGAGTAGAGACACAATTCCAGAATGGTAAGCCTCTTACTAAGGACTCTCTAGCTAAGAAAGTTTTGATTCTGATAACCAACCCAAGCTATCCCTTTCAGACTATGTAAGAGCTAAGCCCTTTCCTGTCACCAATACTTCTCATTAATAAACTCTCTCTCCTATTACCACTCCCTTAAAAAATAAACCTCTGTATCTACTAGCACTAAAGAATGAACAACAAAACACAGCTTGATGAAATTAGTAATCCAGTGTGCTTCTGAGGAAGGGCCAAGGAAATTTTTCTAATAGAGATTACCATTCCTGTTGACATCTTGTTGACCTTGTATCTTGTGAGTTGATTGAGTCATCAGAGGCTGAAATTGAGAAAACCCATGTCGGAAGAACTTGATTTGCAGCAGCTAATCCATGAATTGAACCAGAGGCATCTGGGATGAGCTAGCTCAGATTTTCCAGTACTTTTTAGTATATCATTTAGGTAGACTTTATCCCTGGCTTTCTCTGAAGAGTTTCACTAAATTTTACATCATCTGTAAGAGTGAAATACCTTGGCTAAAATTTTAAAGCTGCGTACTGCTGACATTGCTTCCTGCCACAAGATGGCAGTGAAACACCACAGAATTTGAAACGTTATCTGAAATTTGAAACATTTGCTCCCTTTCACTTCCTTTAACATCAGCCTATACCACTCATGACTAGCAAAAGTCCTTATGTAGATATTAGCAAACTGCATCCAGCAATGTATAAAATAATAATTTACAACCAAGTTGCCTTTTTACTCATGCAAGGTTGATCAATCTGGAGAAGGTCAGTTAATATAACTTATCATGAAATAGATAAAAGGAGGAAAAACATGCTCATCATCTAAAGATAACAGTATGGAGAGGGAGCATTTGACAGAATTTAACATCCATTCATGACAAATGGATGTTAAATTAGAAACTAGGAGTGAAATTAAACTTTAAAAATCTTGTAAAGGGGATCCACAAAAAAATCTGCAAGACACATCATGCACTATGGTAAGTTGAAAGCATTCTCTTTAATATTAGGAATAAGACAAGGAGGCTTGCTGTCACTACTTCTATAATGGGTGCCCTGGCCAGTGCAGTAAGACGAGAAAAAGAATTAAAGGATATACGAGCTAGAAAGTAGTAAAGCAATAAATCTGCCACTGTTAGATATGGTAGGATGTCTATTTGGAAAGCCTTAAATGATTCACAGATTTATTAAATTATTTAAAATCTAACACGATTACCAAATATAAAAGTCAACATACAAAATTCAACTGTATTTGTTTACAGTAGAGCAGTTGTTTAGATCTAGCACTTTGGGAGGCCGAGGCAGGCGATCACAAGGTCAAGAGATTAAGACCATCCTGGCCAACATGGTGAAACCCATCTCTACTAAAAATACAAAAATTAGTTGGGTGTGGTGGTGTGTGCCTGTAGTCCCAGCTATTCAAGAATCGCTTGAACCCAGGAGGTGGAGGTTGCAGTGAGCCAAGATCACACCACTGCACTCCAGCCTGGCATCACTACAAGACTCCATCTCAATAAAGAAAGAAAAGGAGGCGGGGGGGGGGGGGGGAAGAAAAGCAGTTCAGAGGGGAAAAATAACACTTTAAATAGCAGGCTGGTTATAGTGGTTCATGCTTATAATCTCAGCACTTTGGGAGGCCAGGAGAGGAGGATTGCTTGAGGCCAGGAGTTTGAGACCATCCTGGGCAACATAGTGAGATCCCATTGCTGCAAAAAATTAAAAACAATTAGCCAGGCAGGGTGGCACATACCTATAGTTCTACCTACTCAAGAGACTGAAACAAGAGGATTGCTCGAGCCTATAGGGTTTCAAAGGTGAAGTGAGCTATGATTGGATCACGGCACTCAGTCCAGGCAACAGAGCAAGAGCCTGTCTCTAAATAATTAATTAATTAGTTAATAAAACAGCAACCAAAAAGATGAAATGCTAAGGAGTAAATGTAACAAAAAGTGTGTAAGCCTCTTTTGGAGAAAATTATAATCAAGAAGATTATAGTAGTAAAGAAGATTTAAATAAATTATCAAGGTCTTAAATTGGAATATACACTATTTATTAGGTGCTGATTCTTCCTAAATTCATCTGTAGATTGACATTTCAATAAAAATTATATTAGGGTATTTGTAATGCTAATTCTAAAATTTCCATAAAAGACAAGTCTTACAATAACCAAGATACTTCCGAAGAAATACAAGATCTCTCAATCAGATATCAATATTTAATATAACACCATATTAATTAAGAAAGTATGATATAGGTATAGGGACAGATTTGTAGATCAATGGAACACAGTGGCCCAGAAATAGATTCACCCATATATGAAAACTTATTTTATGATAGACGGGGCGTTATAGATCATGAGGAAAGGATGGATTTTTTTTTCAATAGATGATACTAGCACAATGGGTTATTTTTAAGAAAAAAGGAAAGAAACAAATGGAATCTCTATCTTATACGTATACACAAAAATCAATTCCTGATAAATTAAAGACTTAAATATGTACTAAAGAGGTGAAGCTATTAAATGTTTAGGAGAATGTTATTATAATCTCAGGATAGGAAGATTTTGTTGAAAGGTTGATTACTTAAACCCCACTCAAGAAATTCTGTTCATCAAAATACACCATAAAGAGACTGAAAAACCTGTAATCCTAGCACTTTGGGAGGGTGAGGCTGGCAGATTGCTTGAGCCCAGGAGTTTGAGACCAGCCTGGGCAACATAGCAAGACCCCATCCATCTCTGCAAAAAATACAAAAATTAGCTGGGTGTAGTGGTGTGTGCCTGTAGTTCCAGCTTCTTGGGAGGCTCAGGTTGGAGGATCACCTGAGCCTGGGGAGGTCAAGGCTGCAGTGAGCCATGATCACATCACTGCACTTCAGCCGTGGTGACAGAGAAAGATACTGTCTCCAAAAAAAGAGAGACTGAAAATATAAGCTATAAAGTGTGAGAAGATATTTACAAAGTATATACCTAAAAAAGAATTAGAAGTATCTGGAGAATTGCTATGAATCATCAAGTTAAAGACATCCTAATAGAAAACTGAGCAAAAGATATAGAAAGATATTTTACAGAAGAGGAAGTACAAATAATACATAAACTTACACAAAGATGCTCAATCCCATTAGTAATTAGAAACATATGAACCAAAACCACAGTGAAATTGGCAAAAATTTAAAAGTCACATCATCATCTTCATTGCTTCTGTACATGAAGTACAAATTGGTTTGCCATTTTGGGAAATAGTTGGTCAGTACTTAATAAACTTGAAATTATTTGTATTCTTTAACCTAGTAATTTTACTCATAGAAAACGTACTCTAGAGAAACTATTGCATGTTTACTAGGAGACATACAGAGGACTGTTTGTGACAGCACTGTTCATAATCTCAAAAAAGATAAGAAACAATCTAAATATACATAGGTAGAGTAGATCATCGAAGTATCCCTACCATGTGTTGCTATACAGCAGTGAAAATGGATGCCCAAGGCATACACTGAACAAAAGGATGAATCTCAAAACTACAATGTTAAGAAAAAGAAATGGTACAGTGATTCCATTGTTTTCAGGTTCAAAACCAGGAAAATTTAACTATACATACATTGATGATAAAAGTTAAGAAACGCAAAAGAATAGTTAATGTAAAATTCAGCTTAGTAGTTGTTTCTGTGGAGGAGTCTTCAAAGATACTAAAGATGTTCTATTAAAATTTAATTGCTTTAAAATAACATATGGGTGCTTATTTCCACTGATACCATATGTTTTTATATATTTCATAATTAGGTGTTTTGTTTTGGGTTGTGTGTCTGTGTGTGTGTTTGAGTCAGAGTCTCACTCTGACACCCAAGCTATAGTGCAGTGGTGTGATCTTGGCTCACTGCAACCTCCGCCTCCTAGATTCAAGTGATTTTCCTGCCTCAGCCTTCAGAGTAGCTGAGATTGGAGGTGTGCGCCACCATGCCTGGCTAATTTTTGTATTTTTAGTAGAGACAGGGTTTCACCATGTTGGCCAGGCTGGTCTCGAACTCCTGACCTCAAGCGATCCACTCGCCTCAGCCGCCCAAAGTGTTGGGACTCCAGGTGTAAGCCACTGCACCTGGCCTATTAAACATTTTTTAAAAAGAGTATCTTGGTATGCAAGATCTTCAAAGTCAAAAAAAGAAGTATCATTGCTTTCTTTCTGTTAATGTCTCTCATCACCCTGGGTAAATGTATTATTTTTATTTCCCCTGGTCCTACTGCCAAAGTGTATTTGTGTTGTCACTTCAAAGCTAAGTCTTGGTAGAGAAAAGTATTAATACAGAACAGCTAACTTTTAAGCAGCTTCTCTTTTGGTCAGAATGTGTCTTTTATGAAATTGGCAGCTCTCTGATATTGTAGTCCATTGTTTTTCAAATATAGTTTCATTTGTGAAAAAAATTGCTTATGTCAATCTCGAATATTTAAAACAGTTAAAAGCCTGGTTACGGTGGTCCAAGTATTCTAGGAAACCACGATAATGCAGTTTGAATGCCACTGTTCTGGTTTGTAACTTAATGTGGAATCTGAACTGAGGTGATAATCCTTTACTATTTTCATGATTTCATAAAATTCTGACCCTTGAGAATATTCAAATACTAATTCTTCTTTACTTGGAAATTTAATTCTGAGGTAAGCTGTTTTCTAAAGAACTGAATATTACTTATATCCCATGGTAGATATCACTGAAGTGTACCAGAGGCTTATGCTTCTGTTGTAAAACATAGCTTTCCTACTCAGAACTAACCTGCCCCTGGTGGCCTTATGGAAGGCAAGTGAAAATATGCATAACTTTAGTCTCCCTACAGACCTTTTGACTTAATGCAAGGTTCTCCTTGATCTATACCTTGGGTTAGATTTGGCATTCCGAGGCATTGCTTAGCTGTTTAAAAGACTCAAAGAAGAAAATGTTGATTCCAGGGGTAGCAGCCACACTTCTCATGGATATTCTAAGTTTGGTGTGGTTTTAATTTTTTTAGCTAAAACTGTTGCTACTGGTTAGGGTGAACTATTTTCTGTGAGTCAAACATGGAAACAGAATCTCAAGCTCTGGGGGAGACATTAAAAATCATCAAGTTTGCCGGGCGCAGTGTCTCAAGCCTGTAATCCCAGCACTTTTGGAGGCCGAGGCGGGTGGATCACGAGGTCAAGAGATGGAGACCATCCTGGTCAACATGGTGAAACCCCGTCTCTACCAAAAATACAAAAAATTAGCTGGGCATGGTGGCGCATGCCTGTAATCCCAGCTACTCAGGAGGCTGAGGCAGGAGAATTGCCTGAACCCAGGAGGCGGAGGTTGCCATGAGCCAAGATCGCACCATTGCACTCCAGCCTGGGTAACAAAAGTGAAACTGTGTCTCAAAAAAAAAAAAAAAATCATCAAGTTTAATGATATTTACATTGCTTTTTAAATAGTAGCACTTTCTCTTCTAAGGAAATCACAAGGGAGTTTAGAGTAAGACTGGGGTTGGAGTTATTCCCAATCCTTCAGTCTTTAAGGCACATCCATCTCCTCAATTTTTAAAAAGTTAAATAAAATGGAGGCCCAGAAAGGTAAAATGATTTTCCCAGGAGCATACAGTAAATTGCTAAAAGAGCTAGGCCTCGAACCCAGAACTTATATACAAATTGCCTGACTCGCTAGTTCGGTGTTTTACTGAATCACGTTGCCAGTTTCTGTACAAATTCATCTAAGAAAATCCTTAAGATGTTTCTTCTTACTGCTTGTCTCATAAATTATAGATAGTACAAAACAAATAGCATGTAAATGTGAACATTTATACACAGGTGAGAACCAGTTTTTTTTTTTGTGGCATGCAGGTCACTATGACAAATGTGTATTCGCCCTCCGGGAAGAGAACAAAAGTGACATGAACACTGTACTGAACTACATCTTCTCTCACGCTCAAGTCACCAAGAAGAATCTTCTGGTCACAATGCTTATTGTGAGTAGCATTTTTCAGAACTCGTAAGGACTGTGGATGATATGCAAAAAGTATTTTTTCCTTCCGATGGCTGTGGTCAGAGAAAAAAACTGCTGCCTTTTGTAATTATGGGATGAGGGGGCTTGAGCTGTGGATTAACAGTTTCTCACATGTACCTTTGTCCTTGGTCTGAAGGAACCTGCTCTAGTGAGAAAAGGACTATTCTGGCCATTATGCATATAGTCATACACGGGAACTTACGTTTCCTAACTGTTTAGAAATGCCCCGTGCTTCACCTTTCCTGTGGTCATCATGATGGCAGCTTTAAAATTGCATCTTATTTAGCCAGTATACTCTTAATTTTAACTCTTCTTCCATAGATAGAAGCAATGGCTCTCATGTGAAACTTTAAAAGAAAAAAAAGAAATCCAGCACTTTTCCTCCCCAACCAGAGAAATTTAAATGTATTCTGCATCTTCACTGATCCCTTTTTATTTATATTGAAATCTAAGCTCGGATTATTGTATTGGTAGTAAATGTATGATTTTTGTCCCTGTAACTTAAGTAATATAAGAATTAGTAGGAAGGAGGAATGGGGAGTAAGCCTGGCAAGTGCGAGGAGAGCTAATGTGTATTTGGCCAGTGGGTGGAATTTCTAGGGGCTGAAGGCATTTTAAAGATGACTTGCACGTCCTTCACTCCTAGCACGTTCTGGTTGAGTTAGTTGTCAGAATTAGCATAGTAGGACTGTTCCTAGAGTCCCTCGCCCCGTGGTCCTGAGCATTTGCCTTGCTGCTGCATGCTTGTCTTTTGGGGGACTATAGCACCTTTTCACTCCTAGAGTTTTCTTTCTTGTCCCTTTGTGGAACTGGCATTCTTGGTACCTTACTTCCATCATTTTTCATGGAGGAAAGAAACATACATCTTCACAGCCATTTTTTATTTCATACTTCAGAATGAAGGGAAACTATCTACCTCACATCTCTGATTAACAAGAGTGCCACTCATTTAGTTATCTGCCTAGCTGGTTAACTCTAAAGCATGTAACATTTTTAAGAATAGCCATTTTAAAAAATAGGTAATTATAGGGAGAGTTCATTGCTTTTGCTACCCTAGAATAGCTAGATTGTGAGGAAACCAGAAGATACATTTGAGAGGGAAAAATATATATATCAGCACAATGTAATATTTCAACTTCCCCCAGGTGACAGGTTTCAGCTAAGAAATGTTATCTATGGCAACTTGCTAATTTTTTTTCTCATTCGAAAGAAGGAAGAAAGACTATTTAGATTTTTAAAAAAAAATTTAATGAGAGCATTGTTAAATCTTGGATAAAGCTAAGACTTTCTGGCAGAAAAGGGTAATGATGAGGAGGGTAGAAGAATCCATGAGTTTGGACCTAGAATGGGGTGGAATTTGCCTCTATAGGAAGCTAATTATGGTGAGTTTTTCTTTTTATTATGATTACCTTTTTAAGAACTTAACAGTTTTCTGCACTAAAAATAGACCAAAGCCTAGAATCCTTGGAGCAGCAGAAGAGTAATGATCGTCCAAGACTGTCGCTGGGTTTCTTAAATTCTAATTTGTAAGATATAGGGGCTCAGCTCGCTCCTTTTGCGGAGTGATTGTAAGTAACGCTTGCCTTAAGAATCTCATTATTGGAACACAGAGCCATATTTCCTCTGAGAATTCTGGAGTAGCTTTGAGCCCGGGCTGTTCATTTCTCAAGTAATCACGCTGGTGTGATGGAGAGAGAAAATGGCAGCTGTTCGGAGCTCAGGCCTTCAATTTTCTTCAGAGTCCAGTCACTCAAGTGTGTAATTACACGGGGGGTGCTGCAGAGGCGTTGGGCCCTGTCAGAGAACTGGTTTGAGGCTTTGCTTTCTGCTTTTGCCAGTCAGGACAGACAGAAGCCAATGGGACTGTGACTTGCCGCTGTTCTTTTTTTCCCCCGCCTTGTCATCCTGATTACTTCTTACCTGCATAGATAGTACCCAAACTTTCTTTCCAACAGGCTGAGCTCTTTAGAGAAAAGAGCTGTTTCAGAGTTTGAGTTTGCGTGAATAGGATGGAGGGGGGGGGGAGGAGGAGGAGGAGGAGGAGGAGGAGGAGGAGGGGGAGGAGGAGGAGGAGGAGGAGGAGGAGGAGGAGGAGGAGTGCGGTTGAACATGTGAACCAGGAAACGGGATTTGTCCTTTTCCTTATTTTGGTGTCAAAACATTTTTCTTTTAAAAAAAATGAGACCCAGTAAACATAAGAGGATCTGTAAGCTTTCATGTCAATAATTTCTTTTCAAATAATCAGTTGTTTTTATTTCATCTTAGAGATTTGGAAATCAAGAAGTTAACTCATATGATAAAGGTCAGGGCCAGCTAGCAGTGACTTAGGGAACATAAGTGAAAGCTCAGACGGTGCTCCTTTCTGATCTGATGTTACTGAATGCCAGACATATCTTCCTCTTTGACAATGCTTAGCTGCTCCCCTTTCTGCCTTCCTCTCCCTCCTCCTCACCCACATCTGCACTAATGGTAGTAGCTGGTAAGAGCCATTTTGGTTGTTTGGATTATTCTTTCTGCAAATCTTAGTGCCTTTTACAGATGTCACCTGCACATGGTAGCACTTTGATTCCCCCAGCTTATGTTCTCTGCTGGTTCCCCTTTCTTTGCATATCTTGGCTTCTTGATTGATGATTATGTGGCCAGCATTCCATTCTCTGCTTTCTAGAAGTAGAAATGTTGATAGTATGCTTTGCTGAGCTAGATGATGATTTCTGGGGCTTTGGAAGCAGGGAGGGAGGTATCACTAAAATAAGCCTTCTGTGAGTCAGTGTCATGGGATATGGGCTGCTCCAGCAAAGAGGTACCTTTGTCCTTTCCAGGTGTTAGCATAACTTGCCCAGTGGTAACTTGCCTCAAGGACTCTTGAGCCAACATCTGGTATTCTTTCTTTCAGTTTATCTGGAAAGCAGAGTGTCAGATGAAAGGCTAAAGTCCTATCAGGTTTCCTCCATTTAGAGGGACATTGTACCACAATTTAATACAAACTCTGGAAGACCAGTAGTAAATTTATTTTTTGGAAGCTCTTCTTATTGCTTAAATTTAACTTTACAGGAAAAAGCTTAGACTCAGAATATTGTTTACGTTTGCTTAGAGATATTTAAGGAACTCTTTGGCCAGATTAAGCTAATTGGTACAAATACAAAGTGTTAACATCTTCATAGCTGTTTAGATGCCAATGTACATATCCTCTAGCCACTTTGATGGTAAGTAGTCTTCCTGCTTATAACTTATTTTTGTTATGGTCCACATGAACATACTATAAACCATTCTTCTGTATGAGTAATGCAATGCATATGAACCCCTGATTTGGTTTAGATGGGGAGAATTTAAAATGCTGATCAACACCTTGCCTTCCTCCTCTTAATCTGACTGCAAATAATTTTGTCCAATATGTAAGTAAAGAAGAAAAGTCTTTCTCAGTGATTCTGCATTTACTGAATAAGAGTGATATTAACAATTTTTTGTTAAACTAACCCCATGACGTTTTTGGGATATCAAAAAGTACAGGTATGACTAAAGAAGCTACCAGTTCATTGCTGATACTGAGATTACTACCTACCCAGGTGAGCAATAGTGTATTGAGGGCATTACACATAAGGTCACATTCTTTTCATTTTGAATTGCCTTCCTCAGAGGCTTTCAGTGCCTAGGATACTAAGATCAAGTTGGACTATGTTTTCTTCTGTCAGTCAGCTGCATAACTTTGGCTGTGGTTTTGTTGTTGTTGCTGATGTTTTTTGTTTTGAGACAGAGTCTCGCTTTTTCTCCAGGCGCCAGGCTGGAGTGCAGTGGCACGATCTCGGCTCACTGCAACCTCTGCCTCCCAGGTTTAGGCAGTTCTCTGCCTCAGCCTCCCAAGTAACTGGGATTACAGGCGTGTGCCAACATGCCCAGCTAATTTTTGTATTTTAGTAGAGATGGGGTTTCACTGTGTTGGCCAGGATGGTCTCAGTCTCTTGACCTCGTGATCTGCCCACTTCAGCCTCCCAAAGTGCTGGGATTACAGGCGTGACTCACCACACCTGGCTGTTGTTGCTTTTTAATTAAAGATGTGGTCTTACTATGTTGCCTGGGTGGCTCCCAAGCTTCTGTGCTCAAATGGTCTCGGCCTCCCAAAGTGCTGGGACTACAGGCATGAGCCACCATGCCCAGCCTTGGCTATGGGTTTAACATTTTATCATGTTTGTTATATTTCTGCAAATTCAAACTACTTCCTGTAGTTAGCTACTATCTAGGTCAAAAGTAAAAGCAAGAAATTACTGTTTTGTACTAGTATGGCTGAATAGTAATTTTTACTTCGTTTTATGACTCTGGACAGTTGGAACAGACTTTTGGTTGGTGGATTTTTGCAAGTGACCTGTAATCCCCAAATCAGCAGTTTGGCTCTTTAAACAAACCTTTTTATATTGACTAAACACATCTACTGACCTAGACACCATCTAAAGGTGTTGTTATAAAACGTTCACCAGGATTAGATGGTGATGTTGGTTTGTCCAGTTGCCCAAAAGAAGCCTGCGTCTAGGACAGAGGGTAATAAAATTCCTGTTGGATGTTAGTTGGCATCTTAGGATGGATGGTTCTGTAAAACCTTGGTGTTTTCTTTTAGAACCTGAATGCTATGTCTAAGTGAAGGAGAAGACAGGGTTAAGAAAGTTATTTTACACATAATCTTATATTGCCAGTTTTTTTTTCTGAGTATTCATGATGACAGTGGAGAAAATATTTGAATGGAAAACTTCCAAGTCAGAATAGACTAATGAAAATAGTGGTTAATAATGTATGTTTGCTAACTACTTCACATGTATTAATTTAAGTTTTTTTTAGACAGAGTTTCACTCTTGTTACCCAGGCTAGAGTGCATGATCTCGGCTCACTGCAACCTCTGCTTCCAGTGTTCAAGGGATTCTCCGGCCTCAGCCTCCCAGGTAGCTGGGATTACAGGCATGCGCCACCATGCCCAGCTAATTTTTTGTGTTTAGTAGAGACAGAGTTTCACCATGTTGGTCAGTCTGGTCTCTAACTGACCTCAGGTGATCCACTTGCCTCGGCCTCCCAGAGTGCTGGGATTACAGCATGAGCGAGCACACCTGGCCTACATTTTTTTTTTTTTCTAATCTCCGTAGTTCGCTTTTCTTACAGATACTTTTTCATTCTCCCTTAGCCCTTTCTTACTCCCTTTCTCTCACAGTGGAAAGATGAAATGAAAAAGTGTTTTCTTAAACACTGGTTTTACGTGTTTTGCTTTGTTTTGTCTTTTAAGTTAGAACATGATCTGTAGCTAAGCAAGAGGATAACTCCATTTAAAAATTTTTTAGTTTAATCTCTAAAGGTAAACTTAGATTTCCTTTAAAGGAAATGCATTTCATGTGAAATCTGATATAGGTTGTGGAGGTGATTACTGTTCTCATTTTGTGGTGTTGGCTTTTGTTGTTGTTTGTTTGTTTTTTGATTACAGTCTCTCTGTTGCCCAGAGCTGGAGTGCAGTGGCGAGGTCTCAGCTCACTGCAACCTCTGCCTCCCAGGTTTAGGCAGTTCTCTGCCTCAGCCTCTCAAGTAACTGGGATTACAGGCGTGTGCCACCATGCCTGGCTAATTTTTGGTCTTGAACTCCTGATTTCGTGATTCACCTGCCTCAGCCTCCCCAAAGTGCTGGGATTACAGGCGTGAGCCACCGCGCCCAACCCGGCTTTTGTTTTTGATGTTGAGACTTTAATCTGGCTTTGTACAGAGGAGCTGAGTTGTAGCATTACCCAGTACACTTCTTATGTTTTTAGGCCTTTTGGTGGGTCATTCCAATGCTTGAAGTAAGTACCTCAGAAAAGGAGTATGTTTGCTCTATTAAGAACATTAGGAAAGGGACTTAGGAAGGAAAAATTTATCTTCGTTTCCCTACCTGCTGTTATTTATCAGTTCTTCCCTTCTTTTTATGGTCCTGTTTTTAGTAATTTTACATATTCCTCTGAAATTCTATTTTGCTCATTAGTTCTCAGCAAAAGGTGAGACTTAGTTGCATTTTCTTCCTCCTCTTTCTTTTTTATGCCTAAAAATTGACAGTAGTCAATAGGATAGGTAGAACAGGTCCTCTAATCTGTGCTACATGTTCAACAGAATCCTGGATTTATCTTCACTTTAATAGCAGCTTTTATTTTTCTCAGAAAAATAAACCCAGATGAGTGAATTAGCTGGGTTAAATGGGTGAAAACAGTACTTGCACTGTAATTATAAATCCCGTCATATGTTTTATGACTCTGGACAGTCAGAGCAGACCTCTGGTTGGTGGATTAGGGAACCAGAATCTCATTATACTATTTACTTTAAAATAAAATAAAATAAAAGATTTGAGAAACTTTCCCAGCATAATGGCATTGAGTATTTCAAAAGTATTTACCTTGTGATGTGGAAGGAAGGGATTTTGGAAAAAGTATGTTTTCCCCCACAGCCAAAATTCCCATGCCTTTATTTATACTGCTGTGATAAATGTCTATAAAGGGATTCCCTGAGACAGGGAAGGTTAAGTGTGAAATAGAAGTTCTTCAAGAAAAGGACTGATCATCAAGGTGGGGAGAAGATTAACAAGCAGGCCCCTTGGGGACTGGTCTTTTTTCATGTCCCATTGGAGTAGGGGGAGAATACATATTTATTAAAATATAAAGGCAATTCCGTCTTTTTAAAAGTTTTTATTTTATATTTTATTTTTAGAGATGGGGGTCTTGCCATGTTGCCCAGGCTGGTCTTGAACTCCTGGGCTCAAGCAGTCCTCCTGTCCTGACCTCCCCAAATGCTGGAATTACAGGTGTGAGCCACCCTGCCCAGCCAAGGCAATTATTTAAAACTCCAAGTAGAGGGAGGGGTAACTAAATGGATATATTTTATATGGTGTGGTGTTAATAATACCACTACCAGTAGCTCTGTAAAATTCAGAAAAGGACAGACATTTATAAAAACTGCATTTACCGTTTTTTTAGCTTAGATGGAAGTTGCATGGATAATGGCTGAATTTAGGGAATAAACTGATATTCTACTGGACTCCAGTAAGGATATTTCTCTCAGAATATGATTGGGATTTTTTTCTTACCATTTTTTACTTCTTAGAAGAAGAAGGACCCAATAGTGAATAAACCATGGATTCTATAGTAAGAACTTGTTCTTTCCCTCTAATTCAGCTAAGGAGTCACATGTTTAAGTATCATGGAATGATTCTTGGTACAGGAAGAAGAGAAATGAATTGGGATACAGAATTGCCAGGATATGAGATGGTGTTTTTAGTTAGTGTGTATTTATAAATAAATAAGTTGTTGTTGTGTTTCTGTTTTGCATCTTCCTGGGTTGCTGAAAATTGGTTTGTGAGATGAAAACCACTGGAGTGGTTCTTTTTGCCTTATATCTACCTTCTTTCAAAAATGGGAGAGGAAACAGGAAGGCCTTTAGTCCCTGTTATTTAAAACTTTGAGACGTAATGTATTATTTCTCACTCAGAATCCTCTTGGGCCCTTTTAGTGGTCTCTAATGAGTTCTTCTGCTTGTTAAAAGTATAGTGTTGATTTATAAGGAAACACGTTAGGAATTCTGAATGACTGAGGGATTTGGGCTGCCTCTCCTTAGCCAAACTTCCTCTGGGATCTTCTTTACCACATTGTTTAGGGTAAAAATAACAGGAAGTTTGCATTTTCTTATTAATGCAGCTATCTTTACTTTGTTTTCATTCCTTTTCTCCATTTCAAAATCCTGTCCACCTGTTCTTTTTAATATGGCTATCTATGTTCTTTTTTACATTAACAATTAGGATCAGTTGTGTGGCCGGGACCCTACTCTCACTGATGAACTGCTGAATATTCTCACAGAGCTCACTCAACTCAGTAAGACCACCAATGCTAAAGTAGCACTTCGAGCACGCCAGGTAAGGACATTTGTTGGTATTCTTAAAGAAGGGATGGCTTTCATAGATCCGGCAGTCCTAGACACGATGAACTTGTGCCTAATCATCTTACAAAGAACATGCAATTTTCTATATGTGTCACATTTTCCTCAGAACAAATGTTTTCATGTGGTATGTTTTTTAAAGAGAAAGAAAAAGATTAATGCTGAGTCTCTTTAAAATAGAAGCCCTTTCCCCATTAAAAAAATCCTGCTATCATTCCCTTCCTTCCCTAGTAGCCCTGTGTTAGTAAACCAGGGTCAGGTGGAGGAAAGGACACTGAGGGAAGGAAATAGACTCAATATTGCTTACTTCCCAAAGGGAGCTTAGAAGCAGATGAAAACTTCTAAGTGTACAGGAAATAATCAAGTGTGGAAAGCAGAGAGATAATGAAATGAATCTTAGGCGGCAGCAATCAGAACAACCCCAGAGAAGTCCAGTTAGTTTCACCCTGCAGTCTTCATTTCCATTCCAAAAGGTTTCAGCAGGGAAGCCGAGAGTTGGCACTCCCTTTGTGTTTCAGTGCTTGGGCATTGACAAGGAAGCAGCATTTGAAGCTGTTCAGTGACCTTCTGCTTTCTCTACAATTGTATCCATGTCACTGAATTACTCAAAGTTATTGAACCTCTCAGTGACCTGCTGAGGGTATTCAGATCCTACCGTGTCACTGTTTGTTTGTGACACTGCTTTCACTCTCCCTGTCCCTCACGTGCATTGGTGTTACTTCCTGACGCCTTCTCCTTGGTGCTGAGTACCTGGGGCTGTCAAAGCAGCTTTCCTAGTCTTTCTTTCGACTTCAGAGTTGCAAAAGGCTAGCTCTGCTGCATCCACCTTCCCCACAGCTGCTCCCTGCCAGACCTGATTCCCAATTAACAACTAGTCATGCAGTCCCCAGGACTAGCAGCTTTGCAATGGTAAATCACATACACTGATGGAACTTGATTGAAGCTGTTTTCTCTCCCTTCCCCTTGCCCCTCATGGGAAACTGGCCACAGTGCAAATTATGGTGAGAGTCAACTAAGATTCAGTATTTGGTGGCATTGGCTTTATGTTACAGGACCTAGAAGTTGTTTTACTTGGTCTCTGTTTTATCTGTGATGCCTGCACTTACAGATTTATATTTATTGCTTTTGTATCAGAGCTGCCTAATAGGAGCCTAGAATAATCACTCCCTGAGGAACATGTGCCTCTTATTTTGTTCTCATTCTAGGTTCTTATTGCCTCCCATTTGCCATCGTATGAGCTTCGCCATAACCAAGTGGAGTCTATCTTCCTATCAGCTATTGATATGTATGGACATCAATTTTGCATTGAGAACCTGCAGGTATATACACACCACACACACACACACACACACACACAGCCCTTTTCTGCCACTCTGCACTCTTATCTCCTTTATTCCCGAACATAGTTTAAGTAATTAATCAATTAATTAATTTTGATTTTCTTTATAGTGGAGTTTCATGCCTTGACTTTCTAAAATGATTTATACTTACGAATTTTTTTTCATAAAAATGCTATTAGGATTGTGGTTTAGCTTAAAATTCAAATAGGCCTGCCTTCATAGAAGTGTCCTATTGAAGTCTATATCTTTGTACTTTACCTAGAGAGTATTCTAGACCAGAATTAAGTGACAAGGCTAGTTGATTTCTGATATATATATACACACACCCATTTCTCTAATGATTTATGATATTTGAATCAGATGTATACATAGGTAATTACTCTTCTGGAGACAAAACTATCATTTAATTTTAACTTTATGTTAATACTATTAAGCTTTATAAAAAGCCCATTTTATAAGAGATTATTGACTAATTTTACTGCTAATTGTAAGGACTTCCACAATTATTTTTAAACATTATGTTCTTAGGGATGACTTTCTATTTTTCTACCTGGAAACAAGGATACCATTGTTATATCTGGCCCAGGGGAATCTTTAGACTTTCTGTAAGACCCAGCAATCCCATTACTGGGTATATATCCAAAGGATTATAAATCGTTCTACGGTAAGGACACATGCACACGAATGTTCATTGCAGCACTGTTTACAATAGCAAAGACCTGGAACCAACCCAAACGCCCATCGATGATAGACTGGACAGGGAAAGTGTGGCACATATACACCATGGAATATTATGCAGCCATCAAAAACAGTGAGTTCATGTCCTTTGTAGGGACATGGATGAACCTGGAAACCATCATTCTCAGCAAACTGACACAAGAACAGAAAATCAAACACCACATGTTCTCACTCATAGGCGGGTGTCGAACAATGAGAACACATGGACACAGGGAGGGGAGCATCACACACTGGGATCTGTTGGGGGGAAATAGGGGAGGGACAGCAGGGGGTGGGGAGTTGGGGAGAGATAGCATGGGGAGAAATGCCAGATATAGGTGAAGGGGAGGAAGGCAGCAAATCCTGCTGCCATATGTGTACCTATGCAACAATCTTGTATGTTCTTCACATGTACCCCCAAACCTAAAATGCAATTTAAAAAAAAGATTTCCTCCTGGGGAATCTAGAGGGGAAAGAAGGATGTTTTTTCTTATTAGGTTAATAGTTGAAATCCGGGGTTTCAACTAGAGTACAAATCTGGGTTTACCATAGTGGAGTATTGAGACAATATTTATTTTTTTATTTTATTTTATTTTAGTGAGACAGAGTTTTACTCTCTTGCCCAGGCTGGAGTACAGTGGTGCAATCTCGGTTCACTGCAACCTCCACCTCCTGAGTTCAAGTGATTCTTGTGCCTTGGCCTCCCAAGTAGCTGGGATTACAGACATGCCCTACCACGCCCGGCTAATTTTTATATTTTTTAATGGAGATGGGGTTTTGCCATGTTGCCCAGGCTGGTCTCGACCTCCTGACCTCAAGTTATCTGCCTGCCTCAGCCTCCTAAAATGTTGGGATTACGGGTGTGAGCCACCATGCCCAGTGAAGACAACATTTAGAAAGTACAAAAAAATGTCAGAAAAGATAATAATAGTCATAAGCACTTTCATTAGCATACAAATAATGCAGTATTTCAGAATTTTACGTGTATTTACTCCTGTAATACAACAGCCCAATGAAGATAGGTATTATTATTTTCTCCATTTTGTAGCTCAGGAAGCTGAGGCACAGAGAGGTTATGGCATTCAGACATAATTCTTACGTTTCACTAACTGCTTCAAATGCCAAATAGTGTCCATTGAAATTGTTCTCCTTTTGATGTAAGGCTTAAACCTGTCTTTGTGTCTTCTAGAAACTCATCCTGTCAGAAACATCTATTTTTGATGTCCTACCAAACTTCTTCTATCACAGCAACCAAGTAGTGAGGATGGCAGCTCTGGAGGTAAGTATTTATGTTAATGTGTTTTTGCTTCTAGCTGGTTTCTTCTGTCCATTTGGCTGCCATGCTGGTTCTGTTTCTCTGGCCTTAAGGTTGGTTCTTAAGGGTAGTCTCTTTTCCTCTGAAACAGTTAAGTGCTTACTCAGATACTTTACTCAAGTGTTTCATCTGAACTCATCACCAGCTTCTAGGTTCCAATCACAGGAAAATAGCTGCCAGCATTTTTCAGAAGTTTCTATTTTCCAGGTATTTGAATTCTCCCATTTCATAATGAGTTAGGATTCCTTGTAACACAAAAAGTGAAAATATGTGGCTGATCAGAACGTATGTAATCTTACCATTGTGTGATTTGGGCCAAATTAAATGGATTTTAGTTATGTTTTGGATTGTCAAGCAGCTCTTATGAAGTACTTCCTTAAAGGAAAGAAAGTAATAGCATTTAATGAACTGTGTTTTAGGTATTTTATTTTTCTCATTTAATTCTACAATTACTTTAGGAAGTAAGAAGAAAGTGAGACTCTGAAAGGCTAAGAGATTTGTCCAAAATCACATAGATAATAAATGGAAGAGTTTTCATTTGAACTCGGGCTAATCTGACTCCAAAGACTTCTGTGTGTACTACAGCACACTACCTCATTAAGCACAAAAACTGCAGGTCCTATATACCACTGTAAAGCTGCCAAATAGATGTTTTTTGAAGATGGAGGGAAAGGAGTGTTTTAGATGAGTTTATGTAATATAACATCACGGTAGTCTGTTGCCAGCTCTTTTGTGTTACTTTTTATTTGTGTTCTGTGGTAGAGTGTAAATTATCCTACTCTGTAAATACCAGAAGTTTTAAAACATTTAAGTGTTTTATAGTGTTTTCATGTCATTTGATGAGAACGTTCCTTATATACTTCCCATGCCGTGGAATCTCAGGTAGCATTTTATGTGCCTGGCAAATTTGCTGTGAAATGTGTGAGGTTAGACTGACAGTTTTTGCAGAGATACAGCCTATTGCTGTTTCTTTTTTTAAATTTAAATTTATTTTTTTGCTGTTTCTTTAACTCTTGAGTCAAGTTCATATATTTGAGATATTATATATCAAATTATGTCTTACTGCTTATGCCTTACTGCTTTTGACCAGGGTTTGCCAAAAACTGATTTTGAGTGGGTGGGGGATGTCAGGGAGGACACAAAACAAAGACATGAGATAGCAGACTTGAACTGTACTGTGATTGCTTGTGTCTTCTGTTTTCACTCCTTAAGTGGCTCAAAATCAGCACCTCTCATTTTTCTCACTGCTTACTTTTATCTTCTGTTGATATGATCATTCTTAATAGATTAATAGTTGTGGTTCTATATGCTGTCTTTTGCTAAAGATGAAACTTTCTCCAGGGTTTAGGTTAGTATGAAAGAAGGTTTGTAGTGCATGTAGGAGTCCCGCAGAGGCAGCCTAGTTTCGTTTTCATTAGTAGTCGTGGGTATGGTATTAAGACTCCAGCTTTATTAATTAAAGCAAGATACATATATATACATAGGGTCTTGGGACTTCTCTACCCACAGACCACCGTCTGCCTCAGATACCTCGTTTCAAGACTTTCTCTTGGCTATTTTCTTAATTTCTATTTTTGAAGTTTATTTACTGAGGGTTACTTTTGAACCAGGTGTATGTTCGACGGGCTTATATTGCCTATGAACTTAACAGCGTACAACACCGCCAGCTTAAGGACAACACCTGTGTGGTGGAATTCCAGTTCATGCTGCCCACATCTCATCCAAACAGGTAAGTTTGAGGTGGTATGTGCACCTGAGCCAGCCAGAGGTCTATTATGAGAATCAAGGGGAGTAATGTGTATGACAATTCCATGTTTTTTTAGTTAGAAATATAGAGCAAAAAATGAACAATATCAACCATAAGAGAAGGGCCTTTTGGTGCCTACCTCTTTGATCTAAAGAGACAAATTATGGTCTAAGTAAGATGAAAGTTTAAAACTACTCCATGCATTCTTGCTTGTATTATGTCACTGAGGAAACAGCTGTTTTTTTTTTTTTTAAGTTAGAATTTACTAGTGTTTTACTTGCTAGAACTTTGCCAGAAAACCATTCTTTTTAACGATTTAAATCAGCAATTAGACCAAAAAATTTTGGGTGGAATGCTTTACTTTTCTATATGTTTGCTATGGGTTAAGGAAGGTTATACCTGAGCCAGTTTCATTATCTCCCTAAAACAGACAACTGAATTTAGCAGTTGAAATTCAATCAGTTTTTAAAAATTACATTTCAGAACCAAACTTCTTAATTTCAAATAAATTACTGAAGTAAGCCATGATAATTACATTATTCTTCCCTTCCTATGTCTTTTAAAAAAATAAAATGCACATATGGACATTTTTATTTCAGAATTGCTTTTGTTTTAAAAGGAAAATATTTGATAGATTCATATTTTAAAAAGTATTCTAAGGCAATGAAAATCTAGGAATTCCACCCACACATAGGTTCACCCCCTCCTGTATTTTCGTTCTTTTTAGTAATACCGCAGGAAATATAAATACCACAGCCAATCTTAACCTGCCCCTCTCCATTTCTTCTTTATGGCCTTTGGTTCTTCACTTGGTATTACAAAGTACTGTGTCTTTGGGGAACCTTAGTTATAGACACCAGAAATGGTTTTGTTCTAAATTGCCACTTCACCTAAAGCAATAGAAACCCTTTCTGGAGACAAAGAAGTCTGTGCTGAGACTTTTGGCCACTGGATGCCACTGTTGATCCAGCAGAGGTTGGGAGATGAGCAGAGTCATCTTCAGAAAAAGTACCTGTCTTCTTTGTCTCAGAATATCCTTTCACTTCTCTACCTCAAAAATACCTTATGGCTGGCAGAGAAAAGCATATATCCTTGATTTAGCAAGCATCTCTTGGTACATTTTTGTCTCCGTGGATTTCAGAATCTCATTTTCTAGAAACGAATGGTTGTCCTTCAGTGAGCGGTGAAGTACTCATGGCACACATGGGCACAGCACTCAGTCTTCTTTCTTTTCCTGCATTCCTTGAATAATTGTAGAGAACTACATGTTATACTTAATGCTCTCTGTAATTCTCAGGGCAGTCTCCTTTTCTTCCTGCCTTTCTCCTACCTCTTCCTTTGGGCAGTGATTTGTAGTCAGGCTGCAGGGCCGCTTCTGATTTCCTTCCCTCCTCATCACTCTCCCTGTCTTTCTTAATTGTTCTCCCTGTCCTACTTTTTTTTATTTGAGGATATGTCCAGTTTGGTGAGGGAATGTTGGCTGAAAAATGAGAGAAATTCTTCTTGACTGCTTTGTTAAGAAATCTTACTCACCTTTCTATGTCAAGAGTATAAATCTTGGTTAGTTTGATGTGGTTTCAAAACTTCTGTGCCTGTCCCTCCCAACACCTGGACATGCCTGTCGGTAAAGATCAGACTTGAACATAACAGTAATCCTGTAATCTCCCTGAACCAAGTCTCCCTTGGTTGTTGGTGTAATTTTAAACCTGCTGGATTATTATTGTTATTGCCGTCATTGTTATTGGTGTAACTGTGAAGGTGAAAATAATTGCAAAATAAAAAGGAAAAATAAAATCATCTTTGTGAAAACCAGAAAAATGTTTAAATTGCTTTAATGTTTTTTTATGGATCTAAAGTTCTTTTGTTGAGGATCAAATGATCAGGTTTGATTATAAAATGATATATTCAATTTCAGAGTATAGCTTGTTCAGTTATTGCAGATTTACTAGTTAAATTTAGTTTTATAAGATATATATTCCCTCCCCCCAAATGTTTTTGTTACAATTTGGATTTATAACCTTATTGTGACACCAGCTGGTGTACTGCAATTGAATTCTAACACTAGCCATCTAAAGTTAAATTAGATGCCACAGGCTCAGGGCTCAGTCCACAACCAAACTGTCCCTACTTCAGATGGGGCCATAAATGGGGTCCCCTGGCCACTTGCACTTCTGACCAACTGGCTACAAATTTGAGGGTCCCCTCAATTTTCTCAGTTTGATAATTCCCTCAGAGCAACTCACAGAGTTCAAGCACTACAGTTTTATTGTCAGGATCAGCCAATGTAGGAGATGCTTACAGTGAAGTGTGGGAAGGTCTCAAACACAGAGCTTCCCTGTTCGTTCCCTGTGGAATCAGAGTGTTTCTACCCTCTTAGCACATCCATGTGTTCTCCAACCAAGAAGCTCCATTGACCTTCTGTGTCCAAAGTATTTTAAAATCAGGGCTTCCTTACGTAGGCATACTTGATTAAATCATAGCCTACATGATTAAACTCAATCTCTCCTCCCAGAAGTCTGGCTGGCTGAAAGCCCTCAACCCTCTAATCATGTAGTTGGTCTTTCTAGTGACCAGCTCCCCTCCTGAGTCATCTCATCTCTTAGTATAAACTCAGGTGTGATCCAAGAGGCTTATAAATAACAATGACACTCCTATTACTTGGGAAATTACAAGGATTTAGTCTCTCTTCTAGGAACCAGAGACGATGGCCAAAGTCTTTATTATACAACAGGCCTGCTCATCTTAAAAAGAAATCTAAGCTCTTTTAGATTTAGCTAGTTTTGAGCCAAGTACTTTTCTAACTTTTTTTCCCTAACTCCAGTACTTTTACTTTTTTCTGTTTTGATCAAGCAGCAAAAAGCATATTGTTTCTCATTCTACAGAAAGAAGTTATAGAGGGCTACCAGTATTCATTCCACTCCCAGACCTATAAGGCTCAATTATGTCCACTAACCTCTAGATTAATGATTCTCAGAATTATCTGAGGGGTAATTTGAAAATACACATATTGGAGTCTTGACTTTCAAGACCCGATTCATTTTGGATTAGAGTATAGGTGACCACTTTGAAAAGCTCCTCTGATAATTCTGATGAACAGCTATAACTGAAAGTCACTACTTCTAAACCAGTACTGTCAAATAGAAATATAATACAAGTCACATATGTTGTTTTAAATTTTCTGTTGGCCACATTTAAAAGAGTAAAAAGAAACATAAAATTAATTTTAATAACATTTTATTTAACCCATTCAAAATACCATTTTGATATGTAATAAAAATTGTTAACATTTTTTCTTTTATTCATACTATGTCTTTGAAATGTAGCATGCATTTTACGCTTACAGTGTATCTCAATATAAACTAGCCATACTTTAAGCACTTCCCTAGCTGCATATGGCTAGTGGCTGCTGTATTAGAAAGTTCAATTTAGACCAAAAAGTAATTAGGATAGTCACACTGAGTCGTCTTTTTTTTTTTTTTTTAATGTCACTGGCAGTGCCCTTGGAGAGAGGAAAAACTCTTATTCTTATGTTGCTTATTCTTAGTAGTTACAGGAATTATCCACACTTGATATTATGAATGTTACACTACAATATTTTATGCATGCTTTAAGAATTAGTGAGAATAGAGAAAAGGCATATGAATTGTTCATATTTTACTTAATACAAAACAGCAGAATTTTATATTTTTCCCAATTGAGGTTTAACAAATCAATCCCCTCCCTCCTACACTCAAAGAGATGGGGTCTTATGTTTCCAGGCTGGTCTCAAACTCCTGAGCTCAAGTAATTCTTCTGCTTCAGCCTCCCAGGTAGCTGGGACTACAGGCATGTGCCGCCATACCTAGGGCAGATTAAAAATTCCTGGGGGAGAAAACAGGTATTTTGTTTAACCAGTTTTTTGCATTTTTTTTCCTTTCACTTGGTCTTCACATTCCTAGCCAGATGTTTTTGAATTAGACAAAATTTGTCCAGCACATCATTAGAAGTGTCTTAGTAAGCTGTAATATCAAAGCAAGACTGCAGTCTCTTATTACGTATGGAGTCATCTGGTAGAATTCCATTCCGGCAGCTTTTATATTTTTTCGTTTGTTGGTTTGTTTTTTTGAGACAGAATTTTGCTCTTGTTGCCCAGGCTGGAGTACAATGGCACGATCTCGGTTCACTGCAACCTCCGCCAACCAGGTTCAAGGGATTCTCCTGCCTCAGCCTTCCGAGTAGGTGGGATTACAGGCATACACTACCACACCCAGCTAATTTTGTATTTTTAGTAGAGACAGGATTTCTCCATGTTGGTCAGGCTGGTCACAAACTCACGACCTCAGGTGATCTGCCCACCTCGGCCTCCCAAAGTACTGGGATTACAGGCGTGACCCACTGCACCCGGCCTTGTTTTTGTTTTATAACTCTTCTTACTGTAATTCTCAATCATGCAATTTGTCTTTGACTGTGACTTATTCTCCATGGGTTGGGGTGAAACATGGCACTCTGTCTGCAAATTGACAGCCGCAGAGTTTTTTGTTTGTTTGTTTTTCAGGCAAATGCCTTAGTTGCTGTTGGGATTGAAAACCTGTATCTTTTTAGGACTTATTTTTATTTTTAGAGAAGTAGGCAAAATATATCGCAAACGACTAGGGGAGCCTTTAAAAGGGGAGAAGACACCCGTTTTTAGCATACTTGAAAAGTTGCTCAGTGGTAACATATTTGGTACATTTTAATTTTTGTTTTAATTCATCATAGGATTTTGCATTGCTTGACATGTGGTTACTCTGTTTTTTGGTATAATTTGACTTTTTTTTCTAGTACTCCAATAAAGGTCTGTTTTGTAAAAAGCAGATTACTAAATAGTTTATTTCTAATCTTTGTGACTTCCTGTTTCATCCTTCTCGCTAGGTGTGCCTCAGTCGAGGTATATTATCTTCTTTTTGATCTTCTACCCAAGACTTCTAAATTTTTTCTGGAGACTGTAGTTCCAACTTATTTGG